GACAAAGTGAAGAAGCCGCCACGAATGTATAAACAGACATGAAAATTCACTAAAGATAAAACGGGCGATGCATAAAAACGTAACTAATTCAGAAGGTGTGTTTATTTTACATCGTATCATAAAACGGAAGAAAAGGTTTCTCTAGAATTACATATACTAATAATAAATAATGAGACGTCTGAATAAATATGTAGTATGGGGGGGTTTTGGGACTCTCCCGCATAAAATAACGAATAAATGTTATATCCTTCTTATGCCAGACGTCCGTTTAAACAAATTGTTTCATTTTGAATAGGTAAATTGTATTTTATCTCAGTCTCAAAGACAATCAACAGACGATTCACATTGCTCTTCTGCAAGAGAATTCAGACAGATTAAAAAGAATATCAGAAGTTAAAAATTTGGATTGAGGTCAGCAAGGTGATGCATAATCACGTCAGCATAATCAGCTGTTTTCATCTGTCAGTCAAAACCAGTGAGAATGTGCGCACCATGGCAATCAGGAACGATCTCAAAACTTACAGTTTTATCCGTTCGCAGACTTCACATTTCACAATCTCTAAAAGAGTGTATTTTAAAACTTTTTTTTTTAATTTGCTAAGATAATGAATTTCTTTTATATTTTTGTTATATAATTTATAGTTTATTTTAAATATTTAAACAAATGGTAATTTTAACTTCATTCATTTTTCATATTTGATATTTTCCTTTTCATGATGCACGCTGATGAGGATGATGATATCAAAACGTGGGGATTTATGTTCCCTACAGCTTTCTGGCGTATTGTATTTTTCCTAGTTCCTTAAATCAATTGATTCGATCTTTCTCTTACAAAGTATTAGGTTATTGACAGTCGTTGCTGCATTCCTTTCCCTGAGTTTTCTTTGTATCGCAGGTTGTCTCAGCAGTTGCTTCATTTTCGAAGATGGCATAAGTGGGTGTTTCTTCCTCCTCATTGCATAACCAACAAATAGGTCATCACTGAATACACCCATGTTATGTAGTTGTTTTCTCAAATGCCAGTGACCATTATTTACTTAGTCCTATCACTCCACTGAGTTTAGCCTTCTCTAACTCTAAGGTGATCGTCACTGGAACTTAAATGAGCTTTTCCTCGCTTCTCCTTGTTTTTATAAATCTTTCCAATGAAGGTATGTACCAGTACTTCCAGTGCAATTGTTGTTTGGGATATTATCATTGCCCCTGTGATACATAGTTTGAGAGTCTACATGCTATGTCTATACGTTTGGATAGATTGCTTTTGCACAATCACCCCAAAACCATACAAAAACAGAACTGATCAAATGGAGGAAGAAAGAAGTGTCCACAAACTGGAAGAATTTATCAGGTGAAAAACAATCAAAGAAGTTCCTTAACCATGGAAATTGACCTCGCTCTCAGGAAGAAGGAATTAAGGAGAATAAAAGGCCTTTGTACTGGCCATTTCCCTTTCAATCGTATTTTTTATAAGAAAAAAATTGATTATGCAAATCCTATTTTCTGCGTTATAGCAAAAAGTACTAGATAAAGAAATTACGAAAAAATAGTACAAAATTATTAATTTTTCGTTTTGGGTTATTAATTGTCCTCTGGGGATGTTGAAAAGCCAAAACGTGTCTGACCTAAATAACCAGCAAGAACAGACGAACCAGGAAGCTCGGAGACGACCGAAGAACATAAATAAGAATTCAAAATACTGGAAAAACTGATAATTTATAAAGAATATTAATTTAGATGATTGTGTTTACAAAATATAATGATGATTAACCGGAAAAATTTGTTCACGTTAATATATGTATGTATAATCATTTAAATTTTAAGAATTAAAATCCTTTATACAATGTCAACAATTATGTAGAATAACTTCATTTCTATTTATCATTTCTGAGTAAACAGAATGTCAATTAGCTTTTAATCTTGCTCAAAATACAGAAAATAAGTATGCAGGTATAAAAGGACACGCTGACAAAAACACAAACAGGCTAATCACCGAAGAAACGGTTTTAACAGGCAAATCCAGCGATACTTGACGGACCAGAAATATCTGGGACTATCAAGCTATACTTACACCAATAACCAATACCATTGACTGTTTTTACAGAAGTGCAAATATTCTCCGGACAATTATGATTACCTCCACATACCTCTTTCTCTAATAGCATATTGGAAAAATGAAACGTCCAGTAATGGATAAAGAGAGTTCAGCAGTCATTCTTGCAATAAAATTGAAAACACCTGTTAACAGATTGTTCATAGATATATTTTTTTATTGTTTATAGTCTCTTTACTTCTTAATACTAAAATAAAAAGCGCAATAAAGCATAATTCCTTTCACTTTTTTAATATTTTAATTTGAAGAATTAATTAAATTTTCGCCTCCTCAATGCATGTTACATAAGCGTTATATTTATATTTTTTTACCAACGTATTAATTAAAAACGTCCAAGCCTGTCATATAGAGAAATAACCCTATATTCCAATTAACGAACTGGATGTTCGATCGATGACGACATCAATTAATTCGTGTTATATTACAAACGGTAGGAACTTATTTGCTTTCCACATGACTGGCCGAGATTGCAGATACAAAACGAGAATGAATCGTTTCGATATTGACTGATTAATTAGTCCCGATAAACTTATAAAGGTCCCATACATATTTATAAGAAGAGGCAGACCTATGTAACAAGGATGGGTCATGAAATGACTACAGTCTAACATAAGTAGAAACCACCGAGACTTGTTTAAAGTAAATTTTAAATTAGGTTCACATTCGTTTCTGACCTTGTAATGATCAATTACCCTGGGAAGAGCAATCTTTTTTCCCCATGCCAATCACGACAGTTTAAAAACGTGATAAGGCCGACTGATGCACAAGATCCTTCAACCCCTGCCACTTACCACTCCCAACTCTTAGTCTTCAAAAGAACTTGGATAAAAATTAAACCTTGACATCTGACGCAATATTATCAATTCTTTATAAATTACTAACAAGTTTAGGGTTACGTTTTGTTCGGATTTTTACTGGATATAACGACCCTTTGCAATATAATTGCTCCCAATTTAGCTGGTCCAATTTATGATTACAGCTGAAATGATCGTTTTGTACTTAGAAGGCGTCTCATAATAATGGAATTCACCCTCGAAATTCATCCTTCTTTGGTTGAAGCTCGAATAGGTTTATTTAACCAACTCCACAGCTCACAAAACCCACTGACTAGAGTATTTTGCGATTTAAAGGGTAATCGAAACAGAATTTTGCATGGCCGCCAATTCTTATGTGCCAGAGACTGCCCATTTTATTTATTTTTTATTATTTTTTTATTATTCTAAAGACCTTTTAGATGGCCTCTTGTTTTAACGAATGAAAATAAAATTTGAATTATTTTCAACAGTTACAAACAAACCAAAACATGTCCTCCAAATTATTTACAAACCAATAGAATAATTGACAAAACAATTATCAATGAGTTAATAAACAATAATTTAAAGAATTTTTTTTAAATGAAACTCGGTTAAGGAAAACTCTCGTTAATATTTTCTGACCAATGCATAAACGTGCATCGTATCAAAACGTGTGATACAGCGGCTTATCGCAAGGAATGTGTCATATATTTGTTATCCTCCAGTTTATATCGGGTTGTCCGGAAAATAATGCAGGATTTTAAGTTTTCATTAAAAAAAATCTATATAAAATATTCTGTTTACGTTTACAGGATTACTCNTGGGAAATTATTTTGATTAAAGAACATTGCTTTAAAGTAACTAGTTTCTTTTTTTTTGTTTAATACCAAAATCCTGCATTATTTTCCGGACAACCCAATAAATAAGCGAATTTCAAACATTAACATTTTTTACTTTTTCACTTATATTTTCTCGTTGATTTACAAAATGGGTCGTTCGCGACCTAAATGCGATATTTTTTATGTAAAATTATATTCGTTCATTCTGTCACGCGCTTTCTCTCTTTCGATCTCTCGCACTATTTCTATCCCTAGTTCTATCAATAAACAGGGTGTAGCAGCGTTAAATGTCAATACTGCTATGGTGTTGTAAGTTGAGAAATTACGATTTTATGTAAAATTTAATTTAGACTAAAATCACAAAAATGTTAATACCTCAGGAAAGAGTCAAGATAGAAACCTCGTTCTGGTGATACTGCACTAAGTTTTATTTAGTGAATCCATCATGGTAGTATTGACATTTAACACTGTAACACCACTCTTTAAATCTCTCTCTTCTGATTAAATTATGAACTATAATCTGAGTCATTCACAGATCAGAACGACTTAATTTCCGTTTTCACAATGTATTAAACGTTTTGACAATAAATGTGAGAAAAGGCCAATTAACATGGACTGCGCGTAGTACAGACACAATGGGAAGTAGGAGGTTGAATATTGATTTCTCGTGAAAAATGGTCGATTGTTTTCGTATTTTAGTTTTTTTTTTTATTTCCTTTAAAAAAATCTATACTTACAGGGTAAAATCTGATTGTATACTGTTTCATTTATTGACAATTTTAAGCAGAGAGTATTGCCTTATTGCTGTCATTTATTGTTTGTTCAAGTTGTTCAAGAGTAGGTATGCTTTTAGAGCAATAAAAACCTCATTTTTTAATATAAAAATAATAATTAAAAACTGTATTTAGTTTGCAATTAATGTGAAGGAGGGAATTCAATTTTTCGGTTTCGTTTCATCGGGTATTTTCCAACTGCTAAGCCCATATTCAAAAAGGTTCTTTGTCAACGGATTATACCAAAATAAATCGTCGAAACTAATATGAATCTCAGTACATTTTCAGATTCAACGCAAAAAGGGAAAAATCCAAAATATAAATAAACTGAAATATAAACATATTGTGGAATTTAAGTTCTGAGATAATGGACCTAAGCCGGTTTAATGTTTATTTACATCACTACCCCTATTACAAACAGGACTGGCACAATGGTCTCGCACTGAAAGGCCGTGTGTTAGGAGAAATACATATTTCTATTTTTCTTTCAAACAAAAAAACAAAAATTGTCGTTCGAACTCGTTATTTTCGCAACAACAAAACTATCTGGAAAAAGGAGAAAGAGCGTCTTCTTTTGTGCCGAAGAAAGAGTAGGTAGCCCTTACCAGTATGTCTAGATAAAAGGTGTTTTCAAATAAGTGTACGATGTCCTACGCAAGCCACCTACGCAATCCACTTGTCGCTGGATTAATATCTAAGTAAATAAGAAAATCATTTCTATAAAATAACCGTTAGTTTTAAAATAAAAAATTAGTCGTTTTTTTACATTTTGTAAAATTTCGAGCGCCATTTCGTTATAATGGTAAAATGCTAGTTTCTTATCCAAATTTTGTGGTCTGGTTTTTTAAAAAGCATAGAATGAAACAACCAGAATAACTAATTTGTATACGAGTAATACAAAAACTCAGAATTTTACTATATATGCCTTCAAAAATTAAAACATTTCTTCATTATTTTTAGGATATTCTTGAAGGTGGGTAAAATAATCAATAAGCAAAGATAGAGGATGCCAAAACGTCGAAATATACTAATAAAGTTAATTATTTTGCCTACCTTCAAGAATGGTCTGAAAGTAATGAAGAAATAAAACTTTCCATTAATTTAAAAACTTTTTCTTTGTGGTAATTCCTGCTACACGAGAGGGCTTACATTAACGTCCAACAGCCACTCGTTCATTTGTTAAAAACAAAATTCTTTGATTTTTATACTATAACACCAACAATGTGCAAAAATTGATGAGAAATGGGCCACGATTCCACACCGTCATTATACACGAATAAATAAAATCAAGAAGACACCAATAGCCAAATCATTATTCCACCTCTTACTTGCCATTGTGAACGTACTACGCGTACTCCCTGTTCAGTTGTCACGTGTTCATTGTTGAGAAAAAGATTATGAAGTAATGCCATAAAATAAATTGTAATAGATGCTCTGATCTGAATTACTTATAAAGTAATCACCTGTTTTTAAATGGAGTATATATAATTGTATACCCTCTCATTCACTTACATTATTTTTCTTTCTTTTTCATTCATTCCTTTTCTCCTAATCTTTTTCTAGGTTTCTCTCTTTTCTCTTTCACTCTCCCCTCTCTCTCCTCCTTCTCCCTCTATATATCTAGCTCTATCTCTATCACTACTCATTGAGAAAAGCTATTTGTCTAGACGGTGTTTCTTTGCATTTACGTAGAATATTGGAGATCGTGGATGTTTTTTAGTTTGTCATTTACAGAAATGTTTTTGAATGCTTTTACTAGCAAATAATAGTAATTTTTTATTTATTACGTTAATTATTTCAGTAAATACACGATCGGGAAAACAAAATTTCATTATGTCCATACAGAGTTTCTGTGAAAACATGTTCTCTTTATTTCTGATGTTTCTAATGTTGCTTTTCTGTTAAGAAACAGCTTCCAAGCATAATTGTCCTTTTTCCTATCCCAACATGTGAGTGTACTTCTTTCTCAACAGAGTTGTTCTTTGTTCTGATACGAATACTGAATTAAAATACGTAATAGTTTATTGAAAGAATAGGCCAATGTGAAGAATTCTAACATGATAATTAAATTAAACAAATTATTGTTCAACGCTATTCCTTTAAGTTTTTGCTTTAAGTTTTGGTCTGGCATATAACAAAAACTCGAGAGTCAGCAAAGTCAAGTCGTTCTGTCTTTATTTTTCCCATAAGTTCTGTTTCAGCAGAACAGAAGACAACTCGGGGGACTGTCTTAAGCTACATGCTAAGGTCGTATGTTTGGAAGGAAATTTTTGACCTTTTCTTTTTTTTCATTTAAATGTCTTTGTTACCTTAACAAACAGGACGAGGTCAGTTGTTATAAAATAGGTAGTATTGCAGGCAGATTGAAAGTACTCATCTAGAAATTATGATTATCAATGAAGTTTAATGAATAGAAATGATGTCATACTGCATGACAATGCGTGATGCGGCCCTGTAGGAGTCTCTACTTCATTACATTATGGATTACCAATTAATTAATCCAGTCAATGCCAAATTAATTAAAGGAAAAAAATATTTTTCAGAGACTGAGATAATAAAACTGCTTGAACGTTTGGGCAAAAAAGGACAATATATCATGTTTTTTTTTTTTTCATATTAAATAAACATGATCTAAAACTGACTGAATTACTGAAATACATATTTCAACTTTCAAGATTGTGCTCTTAATAGAGATAATAGTCTGCTATTTTCTTTTTATGTCAAAACGTTCCTGTGGCACTGTCGTGCAATCATTTTACAGCAAAAATAAAGCGACAAACCATTCCAGTGTTAATTCCAAGCAAGCGGTAAAATGCTCAAAAAAGGAAAATTATTGGAAAAAAAACTATTTATTCCACTGACCAGCTTTCGGCGAAGGGGGGATTGCAGGTTTCGGTTGATTTGTAGCGCATAATCTTCCAATTTTGCTCGGGGGTTTAAGCCTCGAAGCACCAGTGGGTGGAAGCGGATCACTCATTTTAAAACTTCAAACGAATAAATTACGGACACCTAAAATAAAACAGAATATATCGTTACATTAATCTTACAACAACAAATAAATATAATAAATATACATGCAATATAATTAACAAGGTTTATGATTAGAGGGATAAGTGTACACCTAACAATTTAACATCAGTTGTACATGAGCCATATAGATTCAAGGGCCTTTTGAAACTAAAATATTTAAAATTAGACATTTATGTTATCCATACTACCATCAGGGTATTTTATGTGTTTTTCTTTACATTCATGAACAAATCAACAACTTAATTGGGAGACTTATTCCTTTCAAATGTAAAACACAACTTGTATACAATGGCCAAGAAACTTAATCATATTTGTGGCATTGGACTACACAAGTGTCAAGAATAATTTTAACATCATCCAATGTTTAATTTAATTAATTAAATTCTTGAAAAATCTCTCCTATTTTCCCATCATAATCTATTGCCCACCATCTTTTAGTTAAGATGGCAATAACCAGTATAGAGGCCTATAATTATTCTAAATTCTGCCTGCTGAGAAAGAGTTCCTTTGCCTTCCTTTTTGAGAGATTTATAAATCTCTTCACTTGCCTCATACTTGGTGCTTGAGTTTTTCTTTCTTATGCTATTTTTCCAATTAAGCACACACACTCTGGTTCTGGTCCCATGGGTGAGAAGCCTGCCTCTTTTTAGCCTAATTGGTCAGCTTGTTCACTTCCTTCTATACATTCACGTCAGGGAACCCACATTTAAGGTAACCTTGTTATGTTTTCCCAGTCATTAGGCTCTCTTAGACATGTTAGGAGTTGAAAGCATATGCATTTAGTGCACAGCTGCCTAGCTGTCTGAGAGTATAAATTTGTGCACATTTCGATAAAATAATTAACTACATAATTTGGGTATTTTTAATTATAAATAAATACATCAAATAAATGGTATTTGATTAAAAGCCAATAAATGGCTTGGAAGGTTGTACTCGTTACTTGTAATATAAACTTTCAGGTAACTGAAATCAAATAAACTGAACCGTTTATAAAAAGAAATCACTACAATTTTAAAAAAATCACTAGTTGTAACCATAGAAAAAATTAAAACAGTAAGAGTATTTAAAATAACATATAATCATCAAAATTGATAATAATCACAGAATTCATCCGTTTATGAGATTATCTTTTCACTTATGAAAAGAAAGGGAATTCACAAAATAATTTTATCATAATTGTAAATCAATTTAGAAATTTTCTTCATTACATAAATAAATGAGAATGTTTGGAATAAAACCCAGAAATAAATTAATGACATTGTAAGGTTTGGCCTGTGGTACTGCATGTGAGTCAACAATGAATGTTAGCTCGGCCTAACTTTGAAACACATCTCAGGCAAATCAGCCGTATATATTGTATATTAGAAGCATTTTATCATGTACATAAATTATATGTATACATTAAGTATCAATTTATGGGATTTTCTTCTTGACTAAGAAGGAAAAAAGAATCAACAAAAGAAGGGCACCATTGCAACTTAATTTTGTCTCTTTTGTTTTTAATTGTAATTAAATAAATGGTAAATGAGAATGTTTGGATAAAAGTTTTGAAATGGTTTGGAATGTTGTCATGTATGGTGCGCACAAACTTTCAGCCTGACTTTGAAACTAAGAAATAGTTTGGCATGTTGTCCACGCATGGCAAACATAAACTTTCGGCCTAACTTTGAAACCAAGTAACGGTTTGGCTTGTTATACTCCACGCATGGCAAGCACAAACTTTCGGCCTAACTTTGAAACCAAGATATGGTTTGGCATGTCGTACTTCATGCATGGCAAGCACAAACTTTAGGCCTGACTTTGGAACTAAGAAACAGTTTGGCTTGTTGTACGCCATGCATGGCAAACACAAACTTTCGGCCTGACTTTGAAACCGAGAGATGGTTTGGCCTAGAAATTAATCTAAACAATCAAAAAATCAATCGATTTATTAGATGTTATTGTGATTTAAGAAGAAAAACATTTTACATAGAAAATAAATACGATTTGTTAATTTTCTGGATAAAATGTTTGTTTTTTCTTAAATTACAGTAAAATATCTTTCTTCGATAAAATTTCTATGGAATATATTATTCTATACTCTCTTACCATCCTCATTTTTACAATGGTCACAAGCAGCGATGGTTAGGGATGTATATGTGTCCTCTATATACTTAATGAACTAATTGAATTCTAGTTTACAACAATTTTGTAACTCAATTTGGAGGTTTTTATCCCTTTAATTGTCAGCCAATAAACAAGTATTCAATTCGTTCATTAAGAATATAGAGGACATTTCAAACTACATGGAAGTACAACTGACAACATAGGTGCTTGGTCGTTTAATCATCTCTTCAGAAAACTTACTAATTTTACAGAAAACTTACAAAAAGAGGCTTACCTAAATTAACTAATTCCGAGTGACCAGCTTTAAGGAAGACAAAGCGAGTGCGTACGGACACTGGACAAAAATGCAGATAGGGGAAAATCCGCGGGAAAACATCACACACAGTTAAAACACAACAAATAGCAAACGAAAATGCGAAAATCTGGAACCAAGAAGTGCAACTGATCAGCTGTTATAATTTCTCCTTGACCGTTTGACGTTTCGCGTTTGTTTAAGCGCGAAAGATTTAGAAATTAATAAATATATATTTTCGAGGAGTTTTATTATAAATTGTCTGATTGCATTAACCGCTTCTGAAACATAGGTTTTAAAATAATCTCTTTTCAGTATTTGAAATTAAAAAGTGTGTATATAAAAGAACGGTAGGCATGCTTAGGTACAATTTTAATCAAGATTAACAGTTTAGATGGTTTGAAGTGTTTCAGGCCGTAAAATGAGTAGTATATGATTGATAACTGTGTTAGTTTTATTGTCTAGTGATGTGGAAATGCAACTGGTGTCAGATTCAGATGGCGTAAAATATCCTTTCTTCTCCAACGTTGGTTAGTAAGGTTAAATTAACCTTCTTTGCTACTCCCAGTTTCTGAAGCTCAAGATGGTTTTCAATCTGTCCGAGGAGGAAGCCGTTATTGTTTTTGAAACCAGTCGCGATTTTAAAACATTGAGATGAAACTGGTACACAAAAACGTTGAAAAGGATGGAGGAGGGTAAGTCCGATATGTTTTTTGCTATTTAAAGCTCGAGACAATTTGTGAAAATCGTGTCCACTTCTGCAGATCCGTCGTTCTCATCCCCGAAGAGTCTGAGGATATGTGGCACGCCTACAACCTGATCAGCGAGGGTGACACGGTGAGAGCTTCTACTATAAGGTTGGTCAAATATCCGAATATTGCCTTGTTTCTGCAGAGTCTGGCATCCCAAGGTGACCCTCTCGATCTCTGGTTTGCAGAAAGGTTCAGAATGAGTCCTCTACAGGATCGTCGACCAGCTCGAGGATACGAACGATCCTTACCATCCGAGTGGAAACCATCGATTTTGATACACAGGCTTGCGTCCTCAGACTCAAGGGTAGGAATATCGAAGAGAATCAATATGTCAAGGTAAGCTGAGATAAACAGTACTATAAAATCAATTCAGCTTGATGGTTTGGTTAAAAGCTTGGTCAAGCATAAATTATCGCACATGAACCCAGTCTTCCCACTCATTCCTCTTTCATACTTTTATTTGCATCTCTCCACAAAAACTGCTATGCATTTTACCTTATTTTGAAATTAATGTATAAGCAAGCATTGACGTTTTATGCTCTTATCGCTAAGCAGTAAGAGAACAATTCAGCGTATGCGCTTAACTACTTTTTGTGTGAGTGAAGGTAAGGCCCAAACTTACAATAAACCAGAGAGATATATTCATTAATATTTATTGTTACAAAGACCCGTCTTATGGTAATAAACAAACAAAAATAAAAGTCAAGCAATCAAGTTGTCAGCCACAACTCTTACTCTGGTGATGAACTTATTCACAAGAAGACTTATCCCAAAAGATACTCACCAACACTACGTTCCACATCATCCAGCATTTTCCAGGATCTTCTTCCCACAGCTTCCTTGCTGGCTGAGTCCCAGTGTGGCTGTTTGACTGCTCTGACTGATTCCTCGACTTAACTGGAATGAGTCTTCAATTTGACTGACTATGCTTTCCAAATCATCCCCTTTTTGTTTTCCCAATCAGAGTAGGAGAGGAAATAAGCCAGTCATTGTCAGAAGTTTCTGTTATTCATCCTCCTGCTTCATGTTGATCAACTTCCGGCGAAGAGTTTTCATCACCCACCCAGCTGGCGTGGCCCAAATTAATAGAAAACCACGGCCGAATGAATAGTGACCGCAACAACCTTCACACACTAATAACGTTCCTATGACTTCAGGTTGTGGGAAATGTCTCTTGCTCTACTGGATGGGCGACTCCTTCAGATCTACAGCCCTATTTTCAACATATGTTTGACATGTTTTACAATTATTTTTATCTTATTTTATCAATTATTTCTAAATTATGCTAAGGCAGGGAACAGCTTACAATTGTATGTTTGTTTTGTTGTGGTAATGTATATATAGTGCACTATAGGCTTGGGATCGAATAGGAAATTTATTAAATTATAATAATATAATAAATTTAAAAAAATATAATAAATAAAAGTGTCCAAAAATGTTTTTAAAAAATGAAACAAAATTTACTACTTTTAAACATTCGGTTTAAACAAAAGAGAATAAGATAGGGGACAGCTTACAATTACATGTCAGTTTTGTTGTTATAATATATATATCGCATTATAGGCTTGGGACCGAATAGGAAATTAATAGAAGTGTACAAAAAAAATTTAAAAAATGAAATAAAAAATTACTACTTCTGTACTTTATGTTTAAACAAAAAAAAAGTTACAAATAAATTTTAAAAAAAGGAAGCAGGCAGGTCTCCTATAAAGAAATACAAAATGGTATGTGCAAATAATTAAATAATTCCTCAATGTAGTAAAATATTTTATAATAATATTATTATTGTTCTTTTGCATAATTTGGAATGTATGTACTTATTTTTCATTTTTAAGAAATCTGAAACAAACTCTGATCTAGTTAGGTCATTTGCAGTCATCTGCCTGTCGTCAGTAGTTTTTTGTCAAAAGCATTTTCATACGTATCTTTTTCTGTCTTATTTTGACACACACACACTTCTGATGATGTTAGGTGCATTCATCACTCTGCAGGCCCCAAAAAGAAATTCTGTTATGACAAATAGGCTGCATTGTAAATCACAATTAAAATATATTATGAACTTGATATGTATGAAATAGCAAGTGCTTTCAAAATAACCTTTTGATAAATCTTTTTTTTTTTTAATTTCAAACATTTTTTTATTTCATTGAAGATGGGGGCATACCACACATTGGATCTAGAAGTTAACCGCAAATTTACGTTGACAAAAGCCGAATGGGATTCTGTTTCACTGGAACGTGTTGATATGGCGAGTGATCCATCTCAAGTAGGTTATACAGTCTAATGTGTGCACTTTATTATATTATGTTAGCAATTCCTTCTTTCACATTATTTATTTTTGTTTTTTGAAGTTTTATTATAAATATTATTATAATATATTTTTTTAGAATGCTGATGTTGGGGCTGTTATTATGCAAGAAGGTTTAGCCTATGTTTGTTTAATAACATCCAGCATGACTATAGTGAGGAGTAAAATTGACCAAGTTATACCCCGGAAGCGAAAAGGAAATGTTAAACAGCATGAGAAGGTAAGTTGAGCTACTAATAAAAAGTCTTGTAAACAATGTAATATTTACATTGTTTTAGGGTTTGAGTAAATTTTTTGAAAGCGTCATGCAGGCGATTTTAAGGCATATCAATTTCGACATAGTCAAGTGTATTTTATTGGCCAGTCCTGGGTTCGTGCGTGATCAATTCTACGATTTCATGTTTCAAGAAGCATTGAAAACTGACAACAAGCTTTTGATCGAGAACAAGCCGAAATTCTTGCTTGTACATTCTTCCTCAGGGTTCAAACATTCTCTGAAAGGTACTGCAATAATTCTAACTGTTTTTCACTTCTAAATCATCACGATTTGCAGAAATATTAATGGATCCGGCGGTAATCGCTAAAATGGCTGACACAAAGGCATTAAGCGAGGTCAAAGCTCTGGAGGCGTTTTACACCATGCTTCAAAATGAACCTGCTAAAGCTTTCTATGGGTCAAAACATGTTGAAAAGGCCTGTGAAGCTCAAGCAATAGAGACACTACTCATTTCAGATAACTTATTCAGGTGAATATTTTTCTATTACTAGTACATAATGAGGTAGCTCTTGTTAAAAAAATAATATAAAGTAATTCCTATCATACAAGAGGGTTGTACGACAACCCTTTGACTACATCTCCATTTGACTATGGTAGCAATGTAGTTGGTTTTTTAATTAATATAAATAAATTGATTTATTACATAATTATATAAATCTACTCTTGTGCTACTGGAAAAATTATTTTATAAATTAATCATTACAGATGTTCCGATATTCAACAACGAAAGCGATACGTTTCACTCGTAGACAATGTAAGGGAATTTGGCGGCGATGTCAAGATATTCTCTTCTATGCACGTTTCCGGAGAACGTAAATTTCAATATTATTAAGATTTTTTAATATATATGTAATTTTTAATTATGAATATATTTCAGAATTAACGCAGTTGACCGGAGTTGCAGCGTTGCTCAGGTTTCCCATGCCAGACCTCGACGAAGAAGAGGAAGAAAGCGATTCAGATACGAACGACTAACTTTTTACTTTTCAAACTGCGAGAAATTTTTGAGTTGCAGTTTTAAATAGCTACCGAGAACAAAAACATTGTTGGTCGTAGGAAAACAGGATGAACCATCTGGAGTAATACTCAGTTTAACATGGATTGCTGTTATTTATCGTTTATTATAAACCTAACTTTTTATTGATTTTAGTTGAAAATAATCTCCTAATGAGATTGTAGCACAATTCATAAAATTGTTAGTTAATTTATCTATTTTTTCTGTAAATAATATTATTTATATTCAATTCCATACTTGAGTTTTGTTGTGTCTTCAGGTGTTATAGGATAAAGAAAGCTAAGAAAATGGATAATTTAAAAAAACGTATTTTTAATATATTAAATAAAACATTGCAAATTTTAAAAAAAGAAAAAATATTTTTAAATTGTATGTCCTAGTTCATGAAGTATTCAACAAAATAAACAAGAAATAAAATGGAAATATTTATTTATTTAATATATTGTGTGTAAAATATTATTATTAACTTTCTTGTTTGGCTTCTAAACGTTTTTGATTTACTTGCAACCTCTTCTTTTGCAAAATTTTGACATCCCTCATTCGTTCAGCGCGGCCTTTCATCATGCTTTTGTAAAGGGCTTTGTGCTTCCTTTCCACCATCTTCTCCCTCAACTTGTATTCCTCTCTTTTCCTCTTTTTAAGGGCTTCTTCGTCTTCTTTGAACAATTTACCAGGCGCTACTTTCATTTTCTTGGTCTAAAAGTTAAAAGTTAATTATAAAAATGACTGTAAAATAATTAAATATTAATACTATTTTATAAGCACATATCAGATATGTAAGATGCAAAATGAAAAAATTTAGATTAGCTTCTGTTTTAACACAAATTTTTAATGCTACAAAGTAAATTAAGACCCCCCCCCTTTAAGACAAAATGGAACAAGTATAATAAAATACTCCTTTTAATTATCAACTTAACTTTTTTACGTTTTTACTTAACGTTTCTGATTGCCAGGCCATAGCCAATCCTCGAGCTGAACTTGGAACCAAGTTGGAATGGCCATCTGACAGTTTGAGTTTGCATTTGTGGAAGGCCCAAACTCAACAGCACTCGCCAATTTGCTGATGGCTTAGACGAGTGATGTAACAAACCTTTTGTACATGTGCAAATTTGTATGAACAAGTAATAATTTCTCTACATAGTGTTTTAACCATCGAACAATAACAAAAGCTCAAATACATTGGACATGGAATTTTGTTGATTGTGTGCATAAGCAGTTCTGAACTGACTGAAAAAGATAAAACTTTACCATCAATTCTCTCTTCTTTCGTAATTGTTCTTCACAATTTTTATTTTTTACTTCTTCCTCTTCAGATTCCTCGCTTCCTTCATTTTCATCTTCTTCATCCTCCTCATCTTTGTTTTCTAAAAAAAAATATATAAATACACATATACAATTTTAATCAAATAGAACTACTCAAAAGGAAAAATTGTTTTAATAAAACTCATAAGAACCTGCGTCAGTTGCTTTTTCTTCTCTCGTTTCTTCGTCTTGAGCCAAAACTTCAAAAGGATTATACGTTTGCGGTCTGCTCGTATCGACAAAAGGTGAAAAGTGAGGTGGCAGAACACAGCCTATGAAATATTTTTCAACGGGCAGCAGCTCCCTTGCGTTGACGGAGTCAAAAACCCATTGCGGTTGAACATAATACCTAATAATTACAACAAACAATCACGAAAATGAAAATATTAAATCCTATCCAAATAAGCCACCTTGAAATGTATTGCTTGTCTATTTGAGGCCTGTCTACTATTTGATGAGTAATCGTTTCGTCGTTTTCGTCAAAAGTTGATCCAACAAATTGAGTTCGATCCCAAGAGACTTCGGCACCAAAACATCTAAGAACGAATACAAGCGGCTCTCTTGGTACTTCACGATTTAAAAATACTTTCATTCCTTTAAATAAAACCTTCAACTTGCGTATTTGTTCAGCTTCTTTATACGCTTGCTCAGCTTGACTCATATTATTGCTGTCTTGAACCTGAAAGATGATAACTTTAAAATTAGGTCTTGTTTGTCACTCATTCAAAAAAATTTATTTCAATGTTTTCAAACAAAATATGTTAAATGTATACAGTGGTTGCTGCTTAATCCATTGCAATTGGGCCAGAATAAAATTCAACGAATTAACCAAAAATTAAGCAAAATAGAGGAGGAATTTTTGAACCAACTTTTTTTTTTAATCTCAGCTTTGTACACATCTTGTTACCCCTGTCACTAACTACAGCTTGATTATCAAGTTTGTTTACAACTTTTTACACCTTACCTGTGACTTAAATTAAAAATAATTAAAATAAAAGGTAAAATTAAAAATAATGCTAAAAATTAGTTTAAAAATAGTATACACTTTGTTCTCTGAAAAATCACAGCTCTGTACCCTCAATTTATAAAGAATTGCCAAGTTTGGACCTTACCTACGTGTAAATCTAAATGTTTTATTAAATCGTGTCTGGCGAAGAGACCTTTTGCAAATGAAGTTCTCCAATCCCCACAAGAATTAATTGATGTAATATTGACTGGATTGAAAAGAAAATCAAATATGTTACAACCCACTCAATTTTAAAAATACACATAGAACGGCTTAACATTCAACTACCAGTTGGATATCAGGGATGAGGGTCAGAACTTCTTTAAAATACATACTTTCTATCATTATTAATTAAAAAGCTGTGCAATATTCTAGGATTTGAACCCAGAATTGCTAGAGTGGCAAATCGAGTCAGATGCTAACCACTCGGTCCCAGAGGTCTCCTACAATTTTAATAAATATAGTAAACAGAATACAAGAAATTAGAATTAATTATTAACTACAACTATAAGTTAAAATGACGTTAAAAAAGTTTAAAAAAAAAATTACACAAAAAATAATTTTAAAAAACCCAACAAATGCATAATTTTATTTATTTACCATTACAACTAACAACCTGTTTGTTCAGTTTTGAAATGGTAAACTGCATTAATTTGTAAAACTTCCCACTTTAACTGGCATTAAAAATAATAAACTTAACCCACCACTTCTTTGAACTTCAGTCTAAAATTCAAGAGACTAGAATATGATACACTCCCAGTATCTGAGTAGAGAAAGGGGTGACCAAGATAGCACGCACTTAGTACATCACTGGGGAAGCAATAGCACAATATTATACTCAACATCCAGAATGGGTTAACGAATGTTATTTTGTCAGGGCCAAGGTATATGTTAGATACATACGTAAATCAAAATTAGTTATTCATTAAAAAAAGTTTGTGATGTACATGTTTTTAATGACACATATATTAATTTGGTTTCATGGTAAAGGGGATGAGTTCATCGTATTGTGTCAACAGTTTTCTTTCTTACCGGCCATCACCAAATAATCATTAAAAAATGATCTCTGATCCACAGATGGAAAGTAATACATATTACAAATGTGATCACAAAACTTTTTTCACACCAATGCAAGTGCTGCATCTAGAAGGCACATACCATGGACCAGCCAATCCTGGCACTCAGTGTGAGGGATTAAGGAGCACCAAGTCAAAGTATGAGGTGCGTTCTAGGGATCAGAATGACAGGGCTTGAGCAGTAGGGTTAGGATGGATCGAGAGGTTGGCGTGAAACTTTTGGAATCAGGAATGAATCAGTTTGTTGATGAAAGTAATGTTGAGTTCGTGGGGATAGTGAGGTTAGTGTAGAGTAAGCCTTGATGATTTCGATGGGATGGATTAGAACTTAAAAAGCAACTAGCCCTATAGAATTTTTTTAGCGTTTTGCAAGAATTTCTTCCATATTCTTGTTTTTTTTGTTTTTTTTTACAAGGGTTCGCAACAGCAGAGGTCATATAAACCCTCAGGGTGCCGGAACTTTTGAAAAAAAAAAAAAAAAAAAAAAAAACCCATTTGAAAGTATGTTGGGCTCGAATGCAGGGCCGCTGGATTCGAACCCGGGACCTTTACCTTACAGTGATGAGCGCCGTGTCAACGCCTAAACCGTTGCGGCCACTGACGCCCCCAGAAATTTGTGTTCTGATAAAAATATTTGCACTAAGCATTCAACTACAAACAAAGTAATCTATTATCTTAATTATTTATCTAAAATTTCCTCTTATTTGATAATTGTATTCAACATAAGATAATGCTCTTAAGATATGGCTAGAGAAAGATTGATCAACATTTATTCTGCCAGTTATGACTTGGTCAGTAGTTTTAAAGGGTGAATACTTGTGAGACACAAATCGTAAGTTACAAAATTAGTACTATTTTAAATTCGTACCAGTTCAAATGCATCTAAGTTGGCGTCTTCTTCCTCAACTGTGTCTTTTGCAGTGCAAATCGGGATATTTAAAGCTGCAATTCTCTCAGACTCTAATACAGCTTTGTCTACTAGTTCCTCGCCTTCCATATCTTTATAATCACAGCAAAATCGTGAACAATTTATTTTATTTAAACTAAGTTACTTGGATTTACCTTTAATCTGATGAATTTTTGGTGGATAATACAAATTAAGCAGATGGTACAACCGGAAATTGACAAAACCAAGAAGAACGACATAAAACTGAACAAAAGTCGACATTATCCTAAAGTCCACTTCTTCTTTTGTTTGCGGCTGAAATTTTTTTTATATTTTTTTAAATACTGAAAAATCGCAATCTTTTATTACATTAATAAGAATTGAACTTACTTCAAAACTAAAAGGATGAGGCATAATCCACGTGATAAGTTGACCACGGATCTCGGCCTGGAAGTAATATCCCTTGATGGATATGAAAACTTTCCTCAGCGCCTTTGATACAATTATAGCTTGCATGAATTCGAGCATGAGACGTCGACAAAGTGCGCTCTGATCCCTCGGAACATGTTTTAAAGAAGGAAAAGTGCTAAACAAGTAGCATAGAGTCAGACAGTCGTCTAAATCTCTAAGTGCATCAATGAATGTCGGATACCTAAAATTAAAACAAAATTCAATAAGAGGTATAATTTTATTTTTTTTTGGTACTGTTTACCTTTCTTTAACAATATGATCTAGATTGATGTGTAAAGGTTTATACATTAGTTTTTTAGCTAGACCATGCTCCTTCATCGCCTTAGCTCGTCCGATTTTCCTCCCATGCACCTGAAACCAAAATGACTTTGATGATCGAATCAAAAGCAAACTAGCTTAAAAGTTCAACCTTCAGCTCCCTGAACTTCCAAATGATCGGCTCGTGCATGAGAAATTGTATGTCCTTCTTATTGTAGAGTGTCTTGATTTCCATTGATCCTTTCTGGGCTTTTTTCCTGTTCCTGGGCTCCCTCGGGTATATGCCTTTTAATATGCAAAGTCGCCGGAACTCTTTAAGAGAGAGCTGGAGTTTTTTAAGGGCTTTCGCCCTTGTCCAATACTGCGCTCCTTCACCTGACTGATACTAAAAGAGAAAATACGAAAAAACTTATTTGAATTTTTTTAAAAATAATCTACATACCTTCTTCTTTCTTGGGCCTGCCATGTTTTAATTAAAAAAACAAATATTTTCCAATAAAAACCAACTTGACAACCACACCACGTGCAGCATACAAGTTTATAACACGACACGACCGTAGGTTGACGGCGGTACCTTCCAACTTCCAACTCGATTTATCGATTATGGACGATACCCAACCATCCCAACTAATCTTAATCGAAATTAATCTCTTATTCAAATATTTTCTTTGCACTTTCCAAAATTTTTATTGGACAAGATTTAATGTAAGTAGTAAATTAAATCTGCAACAATTTCATATGCTAACATTTTATCAGTAAGTAACAATATTTTTGTTAAAAAGCATTCAAATATGAATAATTCAATTATTTTTGTTTCAAAATTAATGAATATTTTTGATTATAAAAGGGACTTTTGTTGATATTAAAATAATATTATGTAAAAAAAAGAATTTTCTATTTAAAATGTTAGATGTATCGACCTTTTTTTTTCATGTGGATGGAAAAACAAATTCAGTTATTATCTTATACCTTAAGGAGAGATTTTTCTCAGTAATCCAGGGTATGTAGACTTCTGAGATGAAAGAAGTGCTTGCAGATATGCCACAAGGGTCAATACTTGCTCCGCTGTTGTACATAATTTTTACTTCTGATATGCCCACAAACGAAAAGCGCCACATATGCAGATGACACCGCCGTATTAACAAGTCATCCCTCTTCTACACAAGCTTCACTTATGTAACAAAACCACATATCAACAATTGAAAAATGGAGCAATCTTTGGAAAATAAAGTTTAAACTCTCAAAGTCACAATATATCTTTAGACTCCATTGTGAGACTTGTCCTAGCATATACTTATACAATGGACCTTTTCCTCAATCTGGCCAACTTAACTATTTAGGACTTACATTTGATAGAAGACTGACTTGGAATCCACACACGATTAAAAAAACAGACACTCAACAAATAATTTAAAGCTTTGTTATCTACTCAACCAATAACCAAAATTACCATTAAAATCAAAACTTTTCATATACACATACTTAGCCAAACCTATTTGGATGTACAGGTGCCAAGCTTATGGATCGGCCAAATATTCCAATATTACAAACTTTTCAATCCAAAATTTTAACACTAATTGTTTCTGTCCGTTTTTAGGTAAACAATAACACACTTCACAGAGAGCTTCCGATGTCAACAGTTTTTTCATAGTTCATATTACAGACATTTTCATAGTAAATTAAAAAATCACACTAATACACAGATACAATTACACAATTCCCCACACTTCCACGTAAACTTCTGAAAAGAATATGGATGATACCTCTTAAATTATTAATATAATTTTATTAATCCAGAGCGGCTGCCAACGGGTCGCTTTCTCTATAACGCCCGCAATGTGACAAACATAAATTGAAATCCAATCTGCTGGTTATATATAATACATGTAGATTGTACATAAAAATAAATGAAGACAAAAATCTTATGGTACCTGACTTGTTATCGACCTCTTTTAAGGTCATCATCAGGGTGAAACAATCTTAAATAAATCTACAAATTAACATAATTATGTTTTTAATAGATGGTTTCAAATTTCTTGAAGATGGACTCAGCGCCAATATTCCTTGCCAATGAGCTCTTGCGTATCAAGAGTACTGACAGGTGGCCCTTGGAGGACCTGACTTGTAGTAAAAGGGCCACCCTCACTCCATTAAGGATAGGCCATGCAAGGATGACACTCTTACACTTACTTTTGGGCCAAAGTATAAATATAGGTCCGGCCTGCAAAGAGGTTGCTCGATGTGTCCGCCTAATTGAAGGGAGCAACTCCTTGGCTCCATATGGTGTGTAAGAATGCCACCTGATACGAGAATTGTTCTTGAGCATGACATGAGTATCTGGGTCATTTTTTCTGATTCTTGGAGGAACCAGGGTCTTATTGTATATAGTACTGATAGTTTTACGGATCGTGTGTTGAGAGTGAATGTATTTATTGGTATGAATTTGCTAGGCAACATAAAACTTCAGTACTGAATAATACAAGCATCCATATTTCCTCCAACAATTGGAACAGGGGATCCAGTTACTCATTGCCTTACTCATGATCATCTCTCATATCAGGGGCTGTGGAGTGACGCCCTTCAATTACGTGGGGTACATCGAGTGACCTTTATATGTGCAGACTTTGGCCCAAAAATAGGTGTCCATGTATCAACTTTGAATTCTTAATCAGATCTCCATTTATATGATTTACGAAGTAGTAAAAATAGTCATGAAATTTTGTTTTAAACTTCAGTTTTGTGAGATGAAAAAGTTAGTGTCACAAGCGGGAATTGAACCCTCAACCTTCAGCTCCATCCATTTAAGCTATTATAACTTTGTACCAGGAACCACCAAAGCCATGATAGCTCAAATGGTTACAGAAAGGGTGTATTGAGTCAAAGGCCGTGGGTTCGAATCCCGTTCATGTCACTAACTTTTTCATCACACCCAACACTTTAGATAAAAAGTATAATTAATTAAAATAATTTAATATTCTATAGTTTTGTTAAAATAGTTGTGCTTGGTTTATATATCAAATTTTTTTCTGGATATGATCAGTTTAAAAAGAAAAAAACATAATGCATCAATAAAACAAACCATTCAATAAAGATGTATTTCTAATAAATAAATCAGTATAGATCAAGGTAATAGATCAGTACAAAATAAATACAAATTCTGCTTTACAAACCATTAACAAACAAATTTAAAGTTAAGACTGTAATTTACTAATGGAGAACTAATTGAATTGAAAAATGCAATCATCCAAATGAAAATGGTGTACACACTGAAAATGTGGAGTACAGAAAGGGAAACTGCCATGTCGCATCCAGCAGTCTATGACGTTGTTTAAAAACAAAATGTACAATTTACTAAAAATAAAAATTAAATCAATTACACTACATCGACCTGCTTCTATTGGTAGTCGTTTTCTCCATTAAATTAAAACCAATGGGCACATCACCTGAAAAGAAAATACATAAAACACAAAAACAAATAAAACAGTTTTTAAATGACACTTTTCAGAATTTAAAAAAAAAAAATTAACAAATAGTAGAAAACATCAAATTTTACCACAGTACTCAGAGTAACAGGAAATATATTTCAATTCATTCAAAGTTATTGAAAATTTGTAATATTTTGTTTAAAATAAGTCTATACAAATAGAAAAGATAACATTTAAGGAACAACTGTTATATTTTTAACGAACTTAAATATTTCAGCTTCGACCTTAATACATTTGACATATTATTTACAGAAGTGGTATGACTATTAATAACTTTTTCATTTATAGTTTTAGACATGTTCTCTAAATCGGACCATTCTTTATGATTGATCTCATAACTTTCATCTTTTTTCTCTTTAATTAAATCATAAAGCTGAAAAACACCATATTTAGATATTTCGCTCTTTAACATCTTTTCTTCAGACTTTAAAACACAATCCATACTTTTTATCGTGTCTGATGCATAAACGATGAATTTATTCAACATGTTTGTGCGCCACTCTAGTTCGCTCGGCAAGTCGACCTTTTGCATTCCATCTTTCTTCTTTTTACTTTTTTTTGTTAATATGTTCTTCATTTTTGACAGTATCACATCACAAACCCCCACTATGATGCATGATACAGAAGCAATTTCAACAAAGAGCGAACAGATTTCAATCATTTCCAATCGTTTTTCCACTTCTAGGCTCCTGATAGAAAACGACAAGGCAAACTGTTCCGATAGCACCATAATAACGCCTAATCTGTATTTACACGCTTCTTCTCCTACATCTTTTCCAGGTACCGTTCCAGGGATGAGGCTCAAAAGGAACCACATCGCGTTTAAGACAATATCAAAATAATTCTGACTATGAATTAAAGGCAGTCTGGATTTCGGAGGTGAAGCTATTGAAGGTTTTTTAAGGCAAAGCTTAGGTGGATTGTTTTTCAGTTTTTCCAAATCTTGTTCCATTTGTTTTATTAGATTTATTAGAATGTTTTTTAAAGAGATGAACGAACTGGTACTGCCGTTGTCATCCGATCCTTCAAAATCTTTCATACTCTCGACGTTTGCAGAACCAAGGTGGATGCTGGTGATTATCATCCTTAGAAGGCGACTTCTCAAACTCAAATAAGTCAGGTCCAAATTGTGGCTCACGTCGATTTCTTCCTGAGTAAGAGAACGGTCTTTAGGCTCCAGATCCCACAGTACATTCAAATCGCGGTTGTCCTCAAGATACATCCAAGGTATTTTATCGACTTCAGGGTCAACAGCAAAATCTCTAATTATTAGCAGAGTACTAACATAAGTTTCAGAAAGGAAGATCAACAACAACATCCGTTCAACTTGCGCCATATAGAAATGAATAGAATTATTCAACTTTTCTTTGATTGAAATTATTTCTGGTATTTTTGTGTATGCATCATATTTATAAGCGTGAGCTATGTGGTCGGCACTTTCTTTTCTATTTGTATTGAAAAATTTTAGCGTAGACAGGAGAATAGCAGTTGCGTTCGTGTAAGAAGCGTGATATATTAAAGGAAAAACATGTAAATATCCGAGTGTATCTAACTGCATTTGTTTAATGTCTAGAAATACATATGCAAGTTGTGCACTTTCTGAGCAGCCTAGCAGATGAGAAAATTTAAGGAGAAGTAATTTAAATTGACTGTTGGAGGGACTCTTAAGTAGAGCGTAATGACAAAGTGTGACCCCTTCGATCAGGTAATCACTGACTGATGTGTCCAACCACAGATCGTACAGTGTAAATAAGGCCAAAAGTGCATAACGGTCGCTGGATCTCGTTTCTGTAGACGGTATATTGGTATTAAACTGAAGCGCATCTATAAAACATTGGACCAACTGGGAAACATACAGTCTTCTATCGCACATTTTGCAGGCCATCACTCTTGCAAATTCTTCGTGACAGATGTGAAATTCCATCCTTGATTTGGTGGAGTCGACAGATTTAGTCGGTTCCCAAATCAAACGAAGGAACTCGTTGCAATTATCGTTTGAGAGGAGATGCAAATACGGTTTGAGGTCGTGAACACACACTTCTTTGGTCCCATACTCTTTAAAATATTCCACCAGGTAATTTAAAACATTTGTGAATTTGGAAAACCTGGAACATAGCTCAAGTCTGGCGATGTAAGGGGCTCTTTTCTTCCAGCCTGTACTTTCTTTCGCTAATGTTTCAATAAACTGCTGGGCTTTCAAAAATTCACTGTCATCTTGGCTTTCTTTACTCAATTCGTACACAGAATCTATGTAATAGAGAAAATAATTCCATCCGTCTAAACCTTCCTCTAGGTATTGCTTGACAAGGATGTTTATGGCGGTCCATTTTCTTTGCTTGGCTAAAAACGACAGCTTCAGATTCAAAATCGTCGATTCGTCCAAGAGTGAACTCAATTCCTGGGATTCCAAAACGGCGAGGGCTTGTTCGTGTTTGTCAAGCAAGTCCAGCACGGCCATATACACCAACAACTCGTGTTCAGAATTCAATTTTTCTTTATCAAGGTACTTTTCCAACATCCTCTCTGCGACTTTCACATTGACCAGTTTTTTTTGGTCCTCGATCTTCTTGTCTGAGAGGTAGTTGTAAACATAAGGGCGATCTTTGGCACATAAATGAGGACTGTAAACAGGCTCAGAGAAAACGGATATCAAATCGGACACCCTGTCCACGGCTTGCAGCAGGATGCTGATAATGGCCCAGAAAAAATACTGGCTCTTTGGAATAACTTTGTATAGGGCGAGAGCGGAGAGTTGTTGTTTCTTGTAATCGCCTATTCTCACATAAGAGAGGAACAGGTTGTTGAGGATGTCCTCGTTGGAAGGATCCTTCTTCGAAGCGTTCTCGTACAGCTGGCATATGAGGTCAGGCTTGTTGATATCCCAATAGCAGACCGTCATGAGCTGAAGCGTCGACTCCTCCACCGGCGACTCGTTCTTGATCACTTCAAGCAGTTCGGTGCACTCAGTCTTTTTACCCATCCGCAACAAAGCGAGACATTTGAGCACCTTGGCGCATTGAAGGTTCGGCTGCTTCTTCAACACCTTCTCAGCTTCCTGCAGTGCTTTTTTGTTGTTTCCGTTGTCCAAAGAGTCGTAGATGGGCCGCAGCCTCCTCTCCGTCACGGGACAACAGACCCCGGATATCATCACCGCACCAAAAGTCGAAAAACGAAACACTAACGGGAGTTATTCGAATTCCTTCCCCTATCGGCTATCTTCCCTCTAAATATCCATTTTTCATATTAAACATAAGTCACCTTCCAGCCAACGACGGGATAACTACAACGTCCTGTCCGAAACCGTGAATCCTAGGATTTTTCATTCAAATCGCCTTTTCGACAAGACGCGGAGATTTTGAAAATCAGGCACGAAATCCCGTTCACAATTTAATTTCAATGATTTAAAAACGAATTCTCACAAACGAGAAATACTCCGCAAGTAACCTCAACGCTGTTTTATGATAATGTGCACATGGCTAAGACCCGCAAGCCGAGAGTAGTTTAAAAAAAACATTTAAAAAAAAACATTTTTCCTTTCAAAAAAATTTTCCACTCAAAATTCGTTATTATACCTGAAACAAAAATACAAATCCAAAACTTTCCATTTAATTATTTTCTCGGTCAAATTTAACGGTCCCATTGAAATGGTGAGGAGGACGAAACGCGATGTTAGATTTCTTTATTTTGAAAAGTTAAAATCTTAAAAGGGGCGGAAAAAAATTCGAAAAAGGGAAATATTTCAAGTATCCAAATAATTTCAAAAAGCGCTCACGAAACTGAGTCGGGGGGGCTTTTGGCGCACGCAAGACGCAACACTGTCCGTGTCCGTCTGAAGAAAAAATCACGAATTTTATCAAATCCGTTTTACATTTTGTTCAGAAAAGTTTTGACTTTTTCCACCCACGAAGAGACCTCAGAAAAAGGTTTTCCCGACTTTCAACCCCCAGAACACTTTTTGAGAGAAATGTGATTGAATCCCGTGAAAAGGTAGGACGCAGACTATTTACTTTCTATTAATTCACAATGTACCTCCCTGAAATCTTTTGACGTTTGGCTGTCATATTTTGATAGTGTTAACGCACCAAAATCATCGGCATATAACATGTCAGTGCTTAATCGACAACAAAGTTGCACCCATGTAGCCCTTATTTTGTCAAATTACGAGCCGTTTTGTCATCGCCTTTTTGGGTGTGTACCTTGTAATTAAAAAAGTTTTATAGGCCCAATTACACACCTTACCATCAATTCCTGTCGACTTAGGTACATCAAGTAACTTTTCTCCCTGAACTTATTTTTTCCCCTTAAATTATGATGCATTTTGAAATGACCAGATTGTTAATCTAGGTTTGATTAAGCTTCAAGGATATCTTTTATTTATTTTAGAAAACAACATATCATTCAAATATAAAAAATATTTTTTTTTAAACAAATTTTATCTTAAAATCTTTTTGTGTATTTCGGTTCATATTTAAATACAAACAATCAGCAAACAAGTTATTTAAAAAAAAAATCAACCATAAAACTTTTAACGTTGAAACTATCAAATTTGAATACTGACAATGTGTCATAACCGGAAATATGTTTAAACCCTTATTACTCACATCTTGAGTTTTCTTTGTAATTTTTGTGGTGTCTCCATAATCTAGAACAAACAACTAAGACAATATTGAATGTTTTTAAACGTTTACCCTTCTAGAATGGCACTCCTGTGACCTGGAAGCAAAAGTTCATAATACCTAAATACCTTCAACAGTCCTGAAAATGGTGAGTAAAACTTTTTTCAGGCGGAGGTCAGGCTTAGAAAAATCCCTTCTTCTTCACGAGAAAGCCATTGATATGACAGCATAATATTATTGACCTGGACCCATTTTGTAAAAAGAACTGTTTATTATTGATTTATTTATGGGTATATTTTATGTACGCGGTGCTGACATTTTATGCTAAGCGATAGGAGATTATTTAGCATATTTGCTTAATTTTTTGTGTGTGGAGGGAAGGTTTCAAAATACAACAAACCATATAGAGTTCATAAACATTCATTCTTATTTCAATTAAACATATTATTTTATCTAAGTGTTGGTTGAGATGAAAAAGTTAGTGTCATTAGCGGGATTCAGACCCACAACCTTCGGCTCAATTCGCTGCTCTAACTATTTAAGCTATCGTGACTTTGATCCACTCTGACATCAACTTCTTATCTCAACCTACAACCTTTCTAATTTTCCCTCTTTTTGCCATATATTTTCTTATACTGAACTGTCTCAGTATTGTAATTAAGAAACCAAAATGCAAACAAACAAGGCATATCAGCTACAGCCCTAACTTGGCATTTACAAGAGAACTTACCTCAAACGATGCTTTGCTAGCTTCCATATTCTTCAGCATTTCTAGGATCTTTCCACACATATTGGGTCCTTAGTAGTCGAATTGTCCTGCATCAGGGTGCTCTTGAACAGTCAACTCTATTTGACTGGATGGTCGACATCGTGTCTCGTCTGGGTGTCTTCACTTCTGTCCACTGCTTCTGAGACACTCACCAATAAGCTCATCCTATAGCAAGCCACTCATTGACAATCAATTCTAGTCGACTCATCTCAAACCTGGACAGTTGACGTCGTGTCATGGTCAAGTGTCTTCACTCACCCTCCGCCTAGCTGACGGTGTTCTCCCGTTTAATTGTTCTCTCACTGAGTACCGGATTCCAGCGGACTTCTGTTCTGTCATCCGCTTCTGGGACACTCATCAGTCAGCTTGTCCTACATCAAGCCGCACTTCGACAGTCAACTCTATTTGACTCATCTCAGCCCTAGATGTCATGTCTCGGCCAGGTGTCTTTTCTCACCCTCTGCCTGGCTGACTGAGTTCACCCATTGACTGGCTTTTTTTTTTTTTTTTTTTTTTTTTCAAATCATTCCCTTTTATATTCTCTAAAAGGGTGGAGTAGGAGAGGAAAATTAAAAACTTGCCTTGTCAACTCATTAGTTATTATTGTTTAGATAAATTCAAAAAGCTTTTAGTTGCAGCAGATTTTCTTTATTTGTGGAAGATGCCTTTCACTCATCTTGTGATCATCAGTCAAAACATCAAAACAGAATAGAAATAACACAAAAATAAACTTTTGTTGACACACAGTTTGTTTTTGCGTTATTTCTATGTTTTGTTATAACAAAGGCTGATGTGCTCACAAAGTGAGTGAAAGGAGCCTTCCATAAATAAAGAAAATCTGCTAGAGCTAAAAGCTTTTTGGATTTACCTAAACAATTATATATATTGTAAGTCGACCAAGCCATTTGGTTAGTTGAGAGGTAAACGTTACAAGGTTGGCTAGAGTTAAACTAAAACATTATTTATTATTATTAATATATTTATTAAACTGAGATACAATTAATAGATGGTCACTATTGACCAGTTTTAATAAATACAATTTGTTGGAGGAAAAAATAAAAATAAAGTTCTTTCATAGATTAGTGTAAGCTTCGGTAAGATTCTGTTAGGACACGGACACCTTTTACACGGTTTGTCCAAATCGTATTCGTAAGATTGTGTACTATATTCTTCTGAACTCTTAATACTCCATTGTATTCTACTAAATTAATCAAATATATTCTGTATTAAAGTTTTATAGCCCTGATGGTAGTATAATCATTAAAAAATAAAATAAAGAAAGCTTGGCATATGAGGAATTTGCCTTTTGTTAAACCACACATTCAACCCCCTCCCACATTTTTACCTATTATAAAATTATTGCCTGGTTGTTTCTGATCTTTGCTATCCTTGCTTTTTATCCTTTACTGTAGTAATTTGAGAAGAAACAACCAAACGACCAAACTTTAGGTCCATTACGTGGAGACAACAAGAAATCATCACAATTTACAACAAAAGTGGTCAATCGTTTTACATTTGACAAAACATTTAGGAATATGTCAATCTAAAAACTACAAACATGCAATTTTATTTTAAATCTATGAGGATCATGGCAATTCGTAAACATGGCATAAGATTTATTTTGGACTGCTCGTAGTTAATGTCCATATGTTGGTCTGCACTTACAAGGATATTGAGCACTTTTGTAGATTCTAGATGCCATCCTTAAGTGCTATTGCTTTTAAAAAGGTAAAACTTCAGACGTGTTTTTAACTGTTTTTCAGATTTGATGAATCTATCACAAATTTATAGCTTCGGAAGTAACTGTACTGTCCAACGGACCTGCTTATATTTTCCCACAATTTTACTTTATTTTCCTGGTTGAAATATATTTGTTAAATGTAAACAATGTTTGTAAATCCCAGGCCCTGAAGATGATCTCAATAAAGATCGAAACATTGGCACGATAAAGAAAATGTTTTTCTGAAACCTACATCACACCGGACCGCATCTCACGATTTCTAAAAAATTGTCTGTTAAGACTTATCCTGAAAAGATCAATATTTTGATGTAGTTTGGAAATCGTGAAATGTGTTCTGGTGTGACGTATGATGATAATGACAATTTTCTTTATAAAGTTAAGGGCACTCTCAACACGACACACAGTAATGACACATCTACACAGAAAACAAATACTTTGAGCCCTGAAGATGATCTCAATTAAGATCGAAACATTGGCACAATAAAGAAAATATTTTTCTAAACCTACATCACACCAGTCCACATCTCACGATCTCTAATCTAAGTAATCATTAATTAACGGTCACTAAACACCACACATTTTGATGTAGTATTTCGCTGACTCTTTCGATTTTTTTATATTTTTTTTAAAAGAAATAATCAGTCCTTTCTTATATTTTTGAAAGTTACCAATCCTAAGTCTTATTAAGGTTCATATTTTTTAATTAATATTTAAAAGTAGTGGTAGATTTTCTTTATGTGTTTTCAAGTCAAAGAAAAATATAAATAGTACATATCTTATTCTCACACCTTGTGTTTTTCTGTTTATTTCCTCTTTAAGTTATAGACAACCAATTTATAGGCTATTATATTTATAGGCCTTTCATTCCTTCGCTCTTTGTCTATCTGTCAGTGTGTATGGCAGATCAATTATTCATATCTAACATTACAGACAATGTCAATTGTTACTTAAAAGGTCAGTGCATTATGCAATGTATAAAAACACCAGGACGAATGGATCTTCTGACAGAGATATGTTTAAAACTTAGTGTATAAATTAATATATTTACAGTAATCATTGATTGTAAATAGATGAAATTTAACAGCTTGATTCAATTTTTTTACTTTACCACAACAGAAGTACAGAGGATGAATAATGTTCCTGCTCTGTATGAAATAGTAAAAGTATTTGTGTGGTGATTAGTGACCGTTAGTCTATGATTGTTCAGAAATCGTGAGATGCGGTCTGGTGTGATGTAGGTTTCAGAAGAACATTTTCCTTATCGAGCCAATGTTTCGAGCTTTATTGAGATCATCTTCAGGGCCTGGGATTTACAAACATTGTTTACATTTAACAAATACATGTAGGATGTGGAAGAAAGTGAATTTATACAATATGCAACAAATATTTTTTATATTCAAAGTATTTCTACTCACTCATGGTGTTTGTTTTCTGCATAAGTGTGCCATTCTTGCGTGCCGTGTTGAGAGTGCCAGTGAGATATCGCTGTTTTATATTTATATATCTCAACACGACACGCAAGAATGGCACAATTACACAGAAAAAAAAACACTGAGTGAGTAGAAATACTTTGATTGAATATAAAAAAAATATATTTTGCATTGTATAAATTCACTTTTTTCCACATCCTATATGTATTGTTAAATGTAAACAATGTTTGTAAATCCCAGGCCTTGAAGATGATCTCAATAAAGATCAAAATGTTGGCACGATAAGGAAAATGTTTTTCTGAAATTTACATCACACCAGACCACATCTCACAATTTCTGAATAATCAGTAAAAATATTTACGAAAAAATTTTCTGAATAATTTAACAGAGATAAAATTATTTTATATTTTTTGTCGCCATAAAAATTCATTTAAATTTTACAGATGATACTTTTCACTTACACGGAGTTTTTACTTGTACTGCTCTTCACATGGGTTGCCGGCGATGTCCAGGTTTTCTCGAGTTATGATTTTAGCCCACCAGTGTTGATCGCAGAATTCAGCGATCTTCCGGCAGCCTTTGGCAATGATATACCATCAAAAGGGATTGTGGTAATTATCAAATTGACACCAATTCGAAAGCAATGGAAATCTGTATTAAAATTTATCATTTCAGGCCAACTACGTTTATGCCAATCCTGAGCATGCCTGTACGTTGATTGAACCACCGCCAAGCAATGCTTCCAATCCGGCCCAGTTCTGGGGCGTACTCATTAAAAAGGGCAATTGTACGTTCGAAGAAAAAGTATATTCGGCTCAAATGGCTGGGTACAATGTAGCCATCGTCCATAACGTTGGTTCAAATAATCTAGGTAGATATTTACACATATACTAACAAAAAATTATTTATTTAATTAAATTATTTATGTAGTGACTATGCGGGCTGCAGACCCTTTTCGAGTATGGATTCCATCCGTTTTTATCGGTGAGACAGCTGCTACAATTATTAAAAGCAGATATCTTTATTACTCAGGGTAAGATAATTCACATCACTAAATTATTTTAACAATTCTAAAATGTTCAATTTTCAGTTGTACTATCCGAATAGAAGAATTGGTCGATAAGAACATTTTGATACCACTATTTATTGTTGTAACAGTCTGTATGATCGTAATGGGTGCCATCATGGTAAATGATGAAAACTTTTATTTGATTAAATTATTATTATTTAATATAAAATAATGCGTCATAGGTTGCAAAATGTATAAAAGATTATCGGAGGGCTAGAAGAAGGAGATTGCCGTGTTCGTACCTTTCTCAAATTCCAACAGCAAAATACAAGAAAAATGACCCATATGAAACATGTGCAATATGTTTGGACGATTTTATTGAAGGTGAAAAATTGAGAATACTCCCCTGTTCCCACTGTAAGTTGTTCATTTTTCCTCGTCGGGCGGTGAGAAAGTTAAATATTCAATACATTTCAGCGTATCATTGTAAATGCATTGACCCATGGCTGACGAGAAACAGGAGGGTTTGCCCGATGTGCAAACGACGTGTCTTCGGTCAAAATGAACGCAATGTCGAAGACTCCGAATCGAATAATGAAGACGATGACAACACACCGTTGTTAAGAAGTGCTCAGCCAACAAATGGTGGAACTTTTGCAGTTGTAAGTAAACAATTGAATATTTGTGCGTGAGAGTGTATATATATTTATATTTTGTCAATTATGCGCACATAAATATAGGATGACACATTGGCTGGATAATGTGGGTACTTTTTTTACGCTTTTAGTTTGTCGGTCAATTCAAAGTATAGATTTTTCTGGCACAACTTGCATCTCACAGACACACCTTCTTTCTGACCTTATTTTGTTCTTTTAGATTTTATTTAACCCTGCAGCAGGAGCATATATAAAAATTATAGAAGCAGGCATATGCGGTAGAAAGTTAACCTTAACCCTCCAGCACCCAATTCACCCTCTAGGGGACAGTCCTTTTTACTGCACTGAATGAATAGATTTGCCATGCTGTTGGTAATTAGTGAAGCTTTACGTAACTGCCATGCATTTTGAATTAGCGTTCTTTAGTTATAACCTCATGAACTTGACCACCTCTCAGTTTTCTGTGTTTGAAGTGAGTCTCAAGTTATTTCATTATTATGACAAACAAAAGGCACATATCGCTATTTTTCATAAGTTGAATAGTTCTTATTAGGATAAAAATCAAATTCCTAAAATAAAAAGCTGGTAGAAAGCTTGCTTAGCCTTTTAAATTGACTTCACTTGATTTACTGAGGTTTTGGCTGCACTGGAACAATCAAAGAATTGTACAGAAGGTTGTCCACTGTCCCCTCAAGAAATGAAAAAAAAAATACCAAGAGGGACCTTTTACGATGATGCTGATAACCTGTCTGGTCCGTTCGAATAACAACAGTATTGTCACTCTGGCCTCAAACTTTCATGCTACAACTTCACAAATATATTAACATTTGTAATAATAATGAAATTATGATGTTTAAAACTCTTTTTTTTTAAGCCTTCCCCAGTGGCGCAATTGGTTAGCGCACAGTACTTATTACAGTAATGTTTATCAAAGGAAAATATTTTAAAACTGATTACTGTTACAATTGTTAAGCTAGATTTAAGGTACTTCCTTTTTCCATTATTCCTTTGAATAAATATATATATCGTGTCTATTTTTGCTTATTTCCAGCAATATCATATTTATAATATTTTAAGAAACTTTTAAACTGAAAAGGCAGTATTGTTCAACATTTGACACCACACTGGAAAAGACACCAAAAGGACGGAAAAATTTAATTAAGTTTGGGATATTCTATTTTAGAAGAGCCCTAATTCATCTAAATACCACTCACTATTTGTAAAGTAAACACTAAACAAAGAAGTTTGCATTCCAAAAATTATGTTGCATTACATAAAAGTGCATGTGTTTATGTGCATGTATGCATGTTGGAAAATCAAAATTTATATTGGGTTGTCCGGAAAATAATGCAGGATTTTGGTATTAAACAAAAAAAAAGAAACTAGTTACTTTAAAGCAATGTTCTTTAATCAAAATAANAATGAGTAATCCTGTAAACGTAAACAGAATATTTTATATAGATTTTTTTTAATGAAAACTTAAAATCCTGCATTATTTTCCGGACAACCCGATAATAGTGGAAATTACATACAAGTTATTGTGTGTGTGTTGTGCGTGTGATTTTGTTTGTTTTGTAAAAACTCAATATTCAATCTGTTTATTTTTATTCCATTTCAGAGAAACTTCAACTCTCCGTTTTCTCAAGCAGTCATAAGCAATTTTGAAAATTGCACTAATGATTTAGACATTGGTCCGATAAATGATGGTTCCTCTTCAGATGACGATGGCCATGGTCACCATTCTCACCACCACCACCACGATGACGACTCCCACTCTCACCACCACCACGATGACGACTCCCACTCTCACCACCACCACTTAGACGACTCCCACTCTCACCACGACTATGATTTTGAATAGCCAAATGCTTCGTGATTACCTATACCGCTGAGCCTTTGGTATTCAGGCAATGTACATATTTGTAAATAAGAGCTAACCATTATAACGACCTAATAAACCTAAAATTTATCAGAGTATTTAAATGGTGTTTTTAAAGTGTAATAGTTTTGAAACGATTTTTAAATATTTGTACATTTTTAATATACAAGATAAAAAATTTTTGTTGTTTACTAGTCAATTATATAAAATATCAAACACTAACTTGTCTTTTAAAAATTAAAAAAAAATATATACCAAGTTTTGTTTATGTAAAAATACATTTTTGTGGCATACGAGACAGGAATCAATTAATAAAATTTATTTTATATTATTCTTGTTCTAAGTTTATTCAGTGGGGTTGTTAAGATTTGCCGATACGACAAAATCAATTAATAATCTCTCGTTTTATTAAGATTTCTATTGGCATTTTTGTTCAATTGGTAAAATATAAAACTAAAATATAATTGACCCTATTTGGTGAAATATTGATTCGATTGAACACTCTTATTTAAATATTAATACTTTTATGTTTTTCAAGAAGAACATTTGTGTAAATTAGGATGAAACCCACAACAGGGAAAGAGCCAATTCCAACTAGCTATAGCTCAATAAATTTAAAATAAAAATATATCTAAAATGGATGTATTATATTTCATTGAAATAAAACAGGAATATCGTAACGTTGTCCATTTTATAATTATTGTTAACTCAAAGCAAAAGCATTAGGTTCAGTGATTTAAAAAGCTTCAGATTAACTTGCATGGAAATGATTGAAATACAGACCGATGAGTTTTAAAAATAAATATAAATACATACAAAAAGAAAAAAAATTTCTGTGATATAAATAGCATTCTGCATGCATACACTTCCAATTTCCCTCATATAACATTTAATAAATGTTGTATTTTAAGTTATATATTGCTTAAAACAGAAATTAAACTCTTATTTTTTAAGAATGACAAGAATGAAATATATTGAACTACCACGTTTATGTACTTTTTGTAAATATAGAAGTTGTAAAAGTTTCACTTAAATTTCTTTTTATTTCCTACCTAGTGATTGATTTTTCAAATTAATTTTTTTTTATTATGCAATTTTTTGCAATAAATTTACCAACAGTCTTCTTTTCTTTAGTGTTTAAATTTTTTTATATTTATTAGGTTTCGTGGTCCGCTTGACCAAATAAATTCTTTTCAATTAATTAATCTTTAATTAAGGTTTTGGTTTAGATAAAAAAAAGTTTGTCACAGGATGGATTCGAACCCACGACCTTCAGCTAAATACGCCGCTGCTCTACTACTTGAGCTATCGTGACTTCGATCCACTCGGATACCAACTCCCCATCTCAACCCACCTTTTGAATTTTCCCTTCTTTTTTGCCATTTTTCAAATGTCATGTAATCTATTTGATTCTCGGCGACAAATAAAATGGCCGTGGAGAGCTTCAGAGAAGTATACTTCATTTTTTTTTTTTTTAGAGTTTTGAATGCGCATATTCCCATTTTTTGCTTTCCAAACCTTTTTGTACTTCATTTATTTATTTGTTTTATTAATGTACAAAAAATAATTTAATATTGAAGAAACTCCTCTATGTTATCTGTAATAATTTTCGTAGTAGTATTCAGCGTAATCTTCACTTGAAATTTGAGGATGGTAAATATTACGTCCTGAAATTAATGAATTGCATAATTTAGTTAATTTTATAGTTATAGAGGATACAGTGAAATCCCTGTATAACAAACAGGCAAGTAGGAAATGTTTTTGTCCATTATTGCAGGGGTGCCCATTCAGGAAGAGTTTAAAATAGATGTTTTGAAAATAAAAAAAATGTTATGTTGTATATAATACAAAATATTTTATATATTTCCATGAAATATATATCTTATAAATAAATAAAAAAGGTATAACCTTGTGATGCATTCTTGATTCATTCACCAAGGTGAATCTTTTTTTGTAATTACAGTTGCATGAAGTGGAGTAACATAAAATGCAGTTGAGACTTGGGAGCCAAAATGTGCCCATTTAGCCAATAACAGACCAAAAAAATAGGGGTGGTGGTTAGAGTAGAGAGGCAAAAATATTTGGTTCCTATGCGAAAGAGAACTTTTTGAAGAAGAAACAAAAATTATAAAGACAAATTTAATTTCTAGAAAAAAATAGGAAACAAAAAGAAAAGAAAAAGAGCCATCAAATGCCAGAACGATTTGTTTCTACACGAAAGAGATTTCCAAAATGTACCTATTTAATGTACAAAAATGGATTACTACCAACACATGACTTATGGAGGGGTTTAAAATATATAGACAACCTATCTTTTTTGCTGGGAATGTAAAACTGGGTAACTGTAAAAAGGGTGGTGGTCGCTATAGAGCGGGGTGCCTGTTAGGAAGGGTTTCACTGTATTTTATTTTGTTAAGTAAAAAAATTTACCTGTTATTGATGATATGAGGCCATCGATAATGTTTTGTAAAGGTGTTTTCATGTATAACAGTCCAGCCAAGATTCCAGCAAAATGGCCAAGGAAAGATGAATTTGGTACAAGAACGTAGATGGCGATCAATTCAGCCCAGGCGGCGTAGCGAGTTGGAACATTAAAATCACCAACACGAGTATAGCCTTTAGGATTTTCAATGGTGGTTATTAATTTAAGGGCAAATATGACACCTGTAATTAAAATTAATATAATTAAATATAAAGTAAGATGGGAAAAAAACACCATGGGAATACCTGAAAAACCAACAGCGCATGACGATAGGATTCTTTTATCTCCCATAAGCTCAGCACCCATAATTGAAAGGCCAACATACAGGCCTGATGTCATTACAGTGAGAAATCCGAGTAAAAATGCAAAATTGGCACTACCATACCTAGATTCCAGCGTTCTGCCTTTTACAAGGAATGAAACCATGTTGTAATAAAGGTGCATGTCGTCTCCGTGGACAAAGTTCGCCCATAATAATGGCTTAAAATCTCTTTGTTTCCAAACTTTGTCTGCACTGATGCATATCTCCCATGGCTCCCAGGGCAATTCGACAATACCGACGTACAATAACGCCTAGAAACAAAAAGAGGCAGGCACAATTATTTTTATATTCTGATTAAACTTAAGTTCTGAAGGGTAAGAGAGATGATGAGCCTATTGTTTAATTGTCCCTGATCATCCTGGTCTGCCTGAACGGGATTTGTCTTTTCTGTTCACCATTTTCAATAGTTGGTTCAATTTATCCTTGGCTTTTTTAAACTTTGCCTTTATAACATCTGTTCACCTTTCCCAAATTCCAAAGTTAAAAAAACTGGTCCTCCAAATCATACGTATACTTTCCTGCCTCCACAACCTGGATTTTTAGAAATGTCTTGAGGGAAGTTTGTTGCTCTCCCAATTTTACTTAAAGGCTAGTCCTTGGCAAGGAGGTCCCAGGTTCATCATGGGATTATAGTGATGGATTATGTTGGGCATGGGTTGGGTTGAGCAGAGGGTTTTTTATACAGCCTGGAAAATTTAGGTGACTAATTTATTTACGAACGATTTTGAGGTCATTGTAGATGGTGGTATTGGAGATATTAGGGAGCGTTGACTTTGATTCTGAGAACTTTGGATTATAAGAAAAGAATTCTTTGGATATTGGTAGGGGTAGCAGTGCCACATAGTTCCAGTCCATATGTCCAAATCGGTTTTAGTAGTGTTTTGTAGTGTCAGTGTGTTTTTGTCAACATGTTAAGATTTGTATCCAAGTAGTTTATAGAGAAGTCAGAAGTCTCATTCCAGTTCCCGTCTTTTTATTTGAACGTATCAGTTCCCAGTTAAACAGAGTTGGTTTTCAATGATAGAATTATTGTTGAGGAATATTATGTTAGGGTAAATGTACCATAGATGCATTTATTTTAATTATTCTTTACCCTCTGCAGTATATTCCATTCTGCAATTTGCTGGACATGTGCCTGGAACACTGATCAGAGGAAAGAACAGCTGTGCCATTGGAGGGTACAGGGTGTAATTGGGATGTCTGAGGTATAGAGTAGGTACAGAATTCGTCCAAGCATACTGCTTTATGGTACTCCTCCCACAGTCGGAGTAGTCTGACTCTTGGCATACTCGGAAGAATCATCCTATGAGGGACTGAATCTGAGACAGAGACTTGCACCTAGCCCACCTGATAATAAAGCATTGGAAAATGATTATGTTTATAGTGTGACCCTGTGAAAAAGTCAGACCAGGAAGATAACAGACAATCAAAATATAATTAAATTTAACATTCTGTTGAGTTGTGATCCTTGCTGTGGAACTCCATAACTATGGGGGGTGTTATAAACATAACACGTGTTATAAAAATAATTAAATTTAAACAAATATTTGGCAAACTTGTAGTACAATTTAAAAAAGCTTAACTAATCTTAATCTGTGATATTCTAATGTACCTGAGTAAAAAATAATAATTTTATTATTTTTTTAATGAAAAACAGACATGTACTTATAGTAATGTGTAACTGAGATGCTGAGCTTCACCTAATTTTAATTAATCTTATTATAAATGCAGTTTCTTGCTCTCCAGATATATTTCAACATTCATCGAGGTAAAGCCCTGAAACAATGATATTATAATCGTCGAAAGCTCGGCAAAAACTTAAACAATTGTCGTTTCTGTTGTGACCTCACTGAAGATCCTTTTGTTCAAGTTGTTCAACAAACAGGTTGATACATCATCTCATCTTTAAATATTTGGCAAACTAAATGTTAAATGTTAAACTTTTTATAATCAAAGATCGCATATAAATGAAAGGGCAAACTCCTTAAAGTATTATCAATGTATATCAAATGTATGCTGTATTAAATACTGGCAAATCATAAAACAGTGAACAATGGGCTTAAATTAATTATTCATTTTATCTAAGGTTTTTGATTGAGATGAAAGATTAGTGTCAAAATGACCTTCAGCTCAATACGCCGCTGCTCTCACCACTTGAGCTATCGTGACTTCGATCCCCTCAGACACCAACTCACCATTTCAACCTACAAACATTCGACTTTTCCCCCTTTTTGGACATATTTTCAAATATCTACCAGAGCAGTATGTCGATATTATCAGTTCCGACCTGACTGACAGACTGTTTAGAGTCAAACAAGAAAATCAATATTCAAAATTAAAAACGATAAATGCAGGAGTGCCACAAGGTAGCATATTAGGTCCACTTCTTTACTTGTTATAAACCAGTGATTTTTCGAAAATAGATGGAATAAAAATTGCAACGTTTGCAGATGAAACAGCGGTGATATCAGTAGGATCGACTATCAACCATTCAACCAAAATCCTTCAAAATGCTGGTAATAAAATAAACAAATGGGCAAAAGAATGGAAAATCAAGCTAAATCAGCATAAATCAGTTCATCTAATCTTTACAAACAAAAAAGTGTATCAATACTTTTTAAAAGGATAGTTCCTACTCACAGTGTATCATGTTCCGTTGCTCAAAATCGATAGAACTACTATACAATACAGCGATACAGCTAAGTATCTGGTTATGACCTTAGACGCCAAGCTGAGATAGAAAGAACATGTGAAGAAAAAAAAAAGCAGAAATAGGTTTAAGGTATAGATAACAAGTTTGATAGGATGTGGCTCTAGCCTTGCTATACAAAATAAAATACAAACAAGTCCTAAAGCTTATGTGGACATATGGTATTCAACTATGGGGTTGAAACAAACACGGCAATATCAAAATCATACTAACACTCCAAAATAAAATCTTACGTAACTTGGTCAATGCACCTTGGTGCATAAGGAATAAGGACTTACATAGGGATCTTAACATCCCTGAGGTCATGGCGGAAATACAAAGATTTGCCGCTAAACACTAGACTCGCCTCAGCCAGCAAGAGAATGTGGAAGCGACCAAACTACTACATAACCAAAACACTGTCAATAGATTAAAAAGAACAAAGTCATATGAACTAGCGTAGTTAAAAATTAGTGGATAGTGAAATTAAATCTTATTGTACCAATGGGTTTATAAGAATGTAAACATTTATTTATTCTATAATAATATTTAAAATTAATGATTGATTTATTAATAAGACAAGTTTTAATTAATAAATTTAATTTAAAAAAAAATTAAATGTCGTGTAATCAATTCGATTTTCAACGACTTATGAAGTGACCATGGTGAACTGTTAGTGAAGTAATTACTTATTTTAATTATTAAATTAATCCATATTGGTTATTGGTCATAATTGACTATATTAATTGGTGTATGAGGGAAGTGAAGTCACGATAGCTCAAGTGGTTCAAGCAGCAGCGTACTGAGCCGAAGGCCGAGGGTTCGAATCCTGCTCGTGACACTAATTTTTCTTCTCAACCAAAAACCTTAGAAAGATGAATGTAGTCAATTATGACCACTAAGCAGTATGGATTAGTTTAATGGGCTTAAAGTTCAGCGGACTGTCTAGCAATACCCATTTTCCCATAACAAAAAGTTTTATTATTATCATAAAACATTCCTTGAAGGTGAGCATCTTTCAGAGAAACCGTGATCATTACACCCATCGCAATGTCAACGATGAAATCTCTCAAGATGAAGCTTTTCAGTGATGGTAAACATTTTATCTGTCACCAATTTTTTAAAAACAAATTATTGCAAATAAATCCATGTTAATCAACGTCTCTGACCTGCCCAATAATGGTAAATAGTGTAATAGGTGGAATAGCATCAAAACCAATGTTGAACAGCTCGGTGAGTAGAAGAATAACACCAAGTTCTAGAGTCTTCTGTCTCTGCTGCCTCCTCATTTTCACTAGCAGTCAGGCCATGTAAAATTGCGCCACCCTGCTCAATTTAGGAACAAATGGTTTCACATCACAAAAAGCTTTGAATTTTACAACAAAATTTAACCTACCCCGTATTTACAATTTAGTGATGTTACCTCCAAATACACTGAGTTTCAAAGATAAAGGATTATGCGTAAGAATACTAGTCATCTTTAAAAATTGTTTAAAAAATCAAAATGTAGAAATAAAATTGACAAATCTGATGAATAACAGCTCAAAATTACTTTATTAAACGAAGTTATAAGAAAATTAAATATTCTTTCTACTCATCTTATCTTTTTACTTTGGTAAGTACTTGAAAAACTAAGCAAGTTTGAAAACCTTTGTCTTTTAACACAAAATTAAATAAACGATTTGACTTATTCAGTTATTATTACACAAGTTTGGACTTGATTGGTATAATTAACACAAAGAAAACTTTTCCCCCTTAAATTCATACATAATATATAATATGTATAATCTAAATATATTAAGAATTTTTATCCCAGAAGAACAGGGATGCTTTAGAAGCAGTAGAGGTTGTGTAAATAATGTTTTCAGTTAACACCATGAAAAAGAAAAGGGTTCTATTTATTTGATAATTTTTGTGGTATTCCATACTCTGTGCCTTATGAAAAATTATTTAGAATGAAAAATAATGGGAAGTTAATCGCTAGTATTTAGGTTATATGCAATTAATTAAGGTTTTCAGTTGAGATAAAAAAGTCAACGGCATGAACGGGATTCGAACCCACAATCTTCGGCTTGATACGCCGCTGGTCTACCACTTGAGCTATCGTGACCTCGATCCACTCAGACACCAACTTCCCATCTCAACCACACCTTTTGAATTTTCCCTCCTTTTTGCCACTTTTCACGATAGCTCAAGTGGTAGAGCAGCGGCGTATCAAGCCGAAGATCGTGGGTTCGAATCCCGCTCGTGCCATTGACTTTTTTATCTCAACTGAAAACCGTAATTAATTGAAGGTGTAATTGGCCAAGCGGACCATCAAATTTAATGAAGTTATATGCAATGCTAAAATGGTTATGAATATTTTCAACAATCACTCTAAATACTAGGTGGTCTGAGAGTCAGTGAATTCATGCTGATCCGGCATTGTGTCTGGTCCGTTACATGAGATCACTCTAAATGACATAACATTTCAGAAGTCATGCATGGGAAAATTTCAAGCCCATTTTTGTTTTCATGTTTATTGCGAGCATTGGAACAGAATGTGGAGCCGGTGGGGTTGAAATTGGAAACCAAAGAAAATTGATCATGCTATTATATTCAGATATTATCCATATAGATTTCTAATTTATCGTAGAACACAAAGGCCTGAACTTTTTTGCTTTTTAGCATTAATTCCTTCTGTAGCAGGTTTTGACAGTTCCTCTCTGTCTCAGTGATGTGACTATTTAATCAAAAGGAATATTATCATATGATTCTTTAATGTTCAAGAAAGTTCCTAACGCTATTTCTTAGTTGTTTGGTGAAACTTCTAGTTTTAATATTATTTATTGTAATGTATAATGATGATTTACAGATTGTATAAATGATTTGTATTAAGCATAGTATTTTATACTTGAATCTTTTCAAGCTGTTTGTTTTATTTTGAGCTATTGATTCTAAAGTAGTTTTTTTATAAGTAGAATACGCAATTTTAGGTGCATTTTTTTTCCTTGTTAGTACACATTAGCCAAAGAACAAACACTGAGAGGGATGTGTCCTCAAGGAACCAGAAGCCACCAACCTGGTTGCAATGAAGGGACTTACCCTCTGGTGTACTCAGGCATCAAATTTTTTTAATTTTAGATCCAATATGATAGGCCTTTTTAGAGATGTGGATAAAAATCATAACATTGAGATATCTGAAAAAGTCCACCTCTCCCAATTATATGTAAAATGTGTGTTCATTTGTTAGGGATGGTGTTCAGAAATGGGGGTAGACCTGCGAAGAGTGAGAAGTAGTATTTCGAAAGTGATGAGATAGAGGTGGTGAATTAGTATAGGTATTTGGGAATCCGACTCATTCCAACACTGTCAATGAACAAACATGTTATGGATGTGGTGAGTAGAGCAAGGATGGGACTAAATTCTATCTGGAGGACTCTTATAGACAACTGTGATATTGCATACCCGACTAAGCTAAAAATATTTAACTCAGTCAGCAGGTCTATTTTGTACTATGGTGCTAGGGTTTGGGGAGGAGAGATGTTTGAACAGGTAGAGGGGTTTCTGCAGTTCTTCAGCATCAGGAGGCTGTTTAGGATGCCCCAGTACACCCCCACAGCCTTCCTCTATGCTCAGACAACTTCACTTCGATTACATAATCAGAATTTTTACCCAAAAGTAGATTCCCGAGGATCCTTGCCAAGCAGATTGTATATAAAGAAATGTATTTGTTTAAGGAAATAAAAAGGCATATAATGTAGTTTAAACTTGGGCTTTTCCTTAGATCGGAACAACATCTGCAGAGTTGAACTGTGGAGAGATGGTTTGGGGCTAGTTAGATGGTCCATTTGTGACAATACAGAGACAACATTGCACAGCTATGGCCAATTCAGACAGTTTCTTACTCCATAGAAAGCTTCTACTCAAATCTACTGCATGCGTTTTGGAGAACCAATGGGGGGGGACGGCTGAGTGTATCTAAATGTAGCAATGTACTGCCACCTTTGTTCCAATATTATCACTGTCCTTTGGCCTACTCCCAATAATTATCATAAACATTTATTATTATTGTTTTTTACTATTATCACTTCTAGTGTATAATGTACATCATTATTATTTACTTTTATTATTTCCATTTACTTTATTTTATTGATTGAGTTATGTGCATTATAGGTAATCATAAACAAGTGATGTACAATTTTTTTTAAAATTATTTATTATTGACAGATCGAAATCCAATATAAAAAGACATTTTACAATAACAAAAAAATAAAAATAAAATATGTATATATACAAAAAGAATAAGCATATATATATACATGGTAATATTATAAATGGTAAATATAAATGATAAATTATTCGGAAATCGTGAGATGTGTTCTGGTGTGATGTAGGTTTCAGAAAAACATTTTCTTTATCGTGCCAACGTTTCGATCTTTATTGAGATCATCTTCAGGGCCTGGGATATACAGACATTGTTTAAATTTAACAAATACATGTAGGATGTGGAAGAAAGTGAATTTATACAATGCAAAACATATTTTTTATATTCAATCAAAATATTTCTACTTACTCAAAGTGTTTGTTTTCTGCATAGTAGTACAATTCAAAGAGTAAAAACTGAACAACAACAAAAACAAAAAGACAAGTAAATTAAGGCAAAGGAAACAAAATAAAGCTGAAAGACAATTGAAACTACAATATTTAGGTGCATATTTAATTAAAATAATGCTATTTGTAGATTTATAATAAGACTAGAGTGCAAGGTTTAGGTGAACCAGCAAATGAAATAAATTGTAATAAACTTTTAACAGTATGAAATATAAAAGCATTTAAAAAAATATATAAATTGATAAGAAAATTCAATTAGAGTAGGGTTGTAGAATAGAATAAAATATATTCAATCAAAGTATTTCTACTTACTCAAAGAGTTTGTTTTCTGCGTAGTAGTACAATTCAAAGAGTAAAAACTGAACAACAACAAAAACAAAAAGACAAGTAAATTAAGGCAAAGGAAACAAAATAAAGTTGAAAGACAATTGAAACTACAATATTTAGGTGCATATTTAATGAAAATAATGCTCTTTGTAGATTTATAATAAACCTAGAGTGCAAGATTTAGGTGAACCAGCAAATGAAATAAATTGTAATAAACTTTTAACAGTATGAAATATAAAAGCATTTAAAAAATATATAAATTGATAAGAAAATTCAACTAGAGTAGGGTTGTAGAATAGAATAAAATATATTCAATCAAAGTATTTCTACTTACTCAAAGAATTTGTTTTCTGCGTAGTAGTACAATTCAAAGAGTAAAAACTGAACAACAACAACAACAAAAACAAAAAGACAAGTAAATTAAGGCAAAGGAAACAAAATAAAGCTGAAAGACAATTGAAACTACAATATTTAGGTGCATATTTAATGAAAATAATGCTCTTTGTGGATTTATAATAAGATTAGAGTGCAAGGTTTAGGTGAACCAGCAAATGAAATAAAGTGTAATAAACTTTTAACAGTATGAAATATAAAAGCATTTAAAAAATATATAAATTGGTAAGAAAATTCAACTAGAGTAGGATTGTAGAATATGGTTTTTCACAGATTGCACAGAACTATTGAAGATCAATGCTATCGCAGATGTTGTTACTTTTGATCATATGTAAAGAAGAAGAGAGCATGTAGTTAGAGCTTTGAAATGCAATATAAAATAATTTGTGTGGGTTTTGAGAGAGTGCGAAGGGACGTGTAGCTGCAGCTGAGAGAGGAAAAAAACTATCAATGAGATGGTTTAATAATTTAAATACAAAATATCAAAGTAATCCCTTCTTAGTGCCAGTTCAAAAAGTTTAAATTGAGAGCGGATTCCAGGATAGGCAGAGTTCGGAGGAAAATTGAGTTTATAAGAAAGTTTTTTTAAAAATTTGTTTTTAAAAATTTGCAATTATATTTCTGCTCTTACTATTCAATTACGTTCTTTTATTACATTACTGAAATTTTTGAAGAAAGTATATATTCTTTTTTAGTATTTTGTAAATACTAATTATAATTATTTGTAAATACTCAGAAGATTTTAGTTATTAATTTTTTACCATGAGGAGCGTTTTTCTTGTTTTGTAATATATATTGCCGATTTGTATACTTTGTATATGCATTATTTATTTATTATTAATATATATTATTTATATATTTAAGAATAAAGACATATAGTAGTAGTAGTGTAGATTGAATTGGGAGGCGTGTGATGATGATGGTTTCTCCCCACCAACTTCCCCCAGTTAAACCTGAAAACTCCCATTTCAGGTTCAGCCCTAGGGGCCCCAGGCCAGCCTTCATCAGACGTTGACCCATTCTACTGACGTCTCATGTAATTACTTATTGAAACGACTTATTTCTCATCTTGCCCGTCTTTTAGCTTTAAATTGTTCTTTTTTTCTCTCTCCCAACAGGGGATTTCGTTTTTCAGAATTGCCAGGAGTTATTTACATGCGTCAATCGTTAGAAAAGGTGAGTCGAACCCAATTTCTAATTCCCAAGGGGTAGCTTGGCTAGTTGATACAAAACATTTTTTTTTATTTTTAAAATGAAACGATTGTGGATGAAATTCACTAGTCAGTTGTTCATTTCAGTTATTTCTGACAGTTCTACTGTTATAATTTCAATTGAGACCTACAAATATGATAGACTCACCCTTTGGGTTGAATTCACCTTTCCATCAGATCAGTCTTTCGTAACAGACAAATACTGAAATGTTCAATGAAACATTGAATCTTAATTTTTTTCGACTGTCTTACAAGCATTCAGTCAATATTTTGTTGGTCCTTCACCATCGCAAGGTCCACACTGACTGATCCGGGTCACCCTCAAAAGGCACTACCCCATATACCCGCTTCTCATTTGGGTATACACCTAATTTCGGTAGCATTATGAGGATGTGGATAAAAATTTTACAAGGCAACAGAAGCCCCCTGAAAAGTCCACATCCTCTCTCCTTCCCGAGAACAATTTGCCCTTCACATGTGGAGCACCCCCCGAGACAGTGCTAAATGTTCAAATGTTATATAAGAAAAAACATGACATTTGAACCTTTTATTGTAAGTCAGAATTTGTTCACATTGTATAACAGCCGTAACGATCAAAAATAATATCTTAAAGTAATATATATTTATATATTGTTGTTACAAACACTTCTTATTTTGTCTCGAATAACGTTGAAATTTAACATTTCTCTAGGAATTAGATGTAAGGGCTATTACATTCTGCAGATTTATAGTTGGTCAATTATTTAGTTGATGCTTATTAAGCATTGAGTGTTGTGGGGATGTGCACACACGACCAACTCTAAGTCGGCTGGTACCTTCCTGACTAAACATGGATAGGCTGTCTGAATGCCTTCCAACTGGAAAGTTGGTCGACTATCAGCCGACTGTTTATTCAGAACAGGCTACAGTAGGAGTGGGCACACTTGCCAACTACCAAATCGTTGATTAACATGAGCTTCAATATAATATAAGCCTGTTATGTATTTTGTTTAATGGAATTTGTGATTTTAAAAAAAATTATTTTCCGTAATGACTAGTTGAAAAGATTAATAGTTGAATCTTTATAAAGTGTTATTAATCCTTTTATGCTCTTTAGATTAAAAATATTTAATAGTAACTTGTTTATTTTTATAGTGTAACTAATTCTATTGCACTTTTTAGATTAAAAATAAAGAAAATATGTTCAATTTCATCCTTTTTAGAGCTCACATTTTGAGTGAGTTGTTTTCTTTAATGAAACAATAGATTTAAGTAAAAAAAAATTTAAAAGCGTGGTTTTAAGCTGAGAAGATCTCATCTGGGCAGATGCTTTGAGCGACCTCAGAAATAGCATGTATAACCTACCTGGGAATTTACACCTACATAGACCTTCACAAAAACATAAAATATATTCTGTGATTTCCTCTTCTTACTTGCAGTATTTGCACAGTGTTTCTTCTTCTGTACTCATATTCTGTGCTTGTGCCTTCTTAGGCAGCAGTGCCCTGTCAGTGGTCTAACCAAAATCCTGGTTCTTTTTGGTTACCCTCCAGTAATTCTCTTGCCTCTGGAGGATTGTTCTATCAGGTTTTGGACTCAATAAAGATCCATTTTTTTTTTTTTTTTTTTTTTTTTTTTTTTTTTTTTTTTTTTTTTTTTTTTGTCAGTAGGGTTTAGAGCCTGGAGAATTCATATTGGCTCCTTTCTGACTAACATATCCACCCTCTGCCATACCAGGATCAAGTCATTGGTGTCTGACTTCTGCCAGGGCATTGCTTCATATGCTTTTTGCCTTTACCTCGTCCAAGGCCTTAAGTGTTGCCTGAGTGTCAGAAAAAAATGGCTATCCTAACTGAGGAGATTTGTAAAGAAATAATATATTTGGGGGAAAATGAGAGTGAGAATGGGAGACGGATAATGTTGGGGTCTATTGGACCCCCTTGGAGCCTAACCTTTGTTGGCTGGACGGATAAGACCGAGGTCTGACCCTAGACTGCCAATACCCGAGGTGGGTGATTTTTGAGGCTTGCCAATAATTTATTGTAAATTACAAAAGGTGGAATTGCTTGTAGACTGCGAGAAGTTATAGGATTTTAAATTGGTTCTTGATTAACTTGGTTTTTTCTATTTAAAAAATAAAGAAATAAATGTATTCTTTTCTTCTTGGTTGTTCACTTGTTTTAAGATCTTTTTAGGTGTTTTTTCAGGAACACATTCATTTTAAAATATACTTTTATTATATCGATATAATAAAAGGATATTTTGAAATGATTGTAAGTTCCTGAAAAAACACCTAAAAAGATTTTAAATAAATAAAGGCTTTCTCAATTTAGATGTTTCAAATATTGATGTCTTTTGTGTTTTGACCTTGTACAATATCAATTTTGACATAAATTCAAGACTTAAAAAAAAAGAATAACTGATCCAAATTCTATTTGTGATTTAAGTAGTGAGGAATAATACAACACTTTATGTCTTAAAAATGGCCTGAATAAAGGACGAAATGTCAGCAATTAAACGAAAAAGGTGTTTTTCTGACATACATCTAACCTGATTGGTCCTCACTATTTCAATCACTTATTGAACCATCAGTCGCTAAACAAAGCACTTATTTTATTCTTTTGTTATTGTAGGTATTTTTTATATTAGAAAAGAGCAGACAAGAATTCGTAGTATAGGTAAATATTTTATTTTGTATTTACATGTTGAATTACTTCTGGTGGTTGTTAGTATTTATTAAAATTAAAACTGTTAGGACATTTTTTTTTTTTCAAAAATGATTAATATTGTGTGATGGGTGATTATTAGGTTTATTTGTGATTTTTAATTAAATTATTTGTTAAACTATCAGAATCAGTAACTCCAATTAAGAAATGGATATAATAATAATTAATACCTAGCTTAATATTCTGACTTTTAAAATATTATTTGTTTCAAAAGCTAGAAGAAGAATTTATTTATATATATTATTTTATTAGTAACTGTGAACATTTCCAATTATGAAAATAGGTATTCCAAAGATGACAAAACCAGGACGAAGCTCTCCTCACAGGCGAAAGAGGAAGACAATGGTCATTAATCGGAAATCAGGTACAAGACTCTGGTCAGGTTTTCTTGCTGGTGCCGGTACTTAGATTGTATGGCCTTGCACTGAGGAAATATAATATTGAAAGTGCTTTAAAAGAGTGGCATGTAGTAGAGATATATTCTTAAAAAGATATCCATTGTTTTTTAGCACCTGGAATATCTTCTATCTACTAATCCTACACAATTTTTATTTTTTTAATAATGAATAACGGACTCAACCTTCTTTAACTCTTCGATTTCACTAATACAAAAATAATGTCTGTATTTTTAAATACTTTTTGTAAAGATGTAAATACATTTTTTGAGTTTTTTAATTTAAAATAATGAAAGATTATATGCAACCATTGTTTATTAATTCATGAATATTTTTTTTACATCTGTTCTGTAAGTTTGTATGACGTGCAGTTTTTGATTTGGTATTGAAACAATTAATCGATAAATTTATTATGCATGGGAGTAATTACTAATAATTTTAATATTTAATTTGTGAGATATTGTGAGAGGTCTGCGTGGCGATGAACCTTTAATATCTGATCTCTCGGCCTATTCTCACTGGTTTGCCTGTACAGTGCTCTCTCCGTAATCCAAACTGATTGCTGCAGGGGAGTATTTGGATTACTGAAGAATTGGGAGTAGAGAGGTGTTGAAAATATGCGTACATATGAAAAAAATTCATCATAACTCTTACTAATGCATAAACAAAACGTTAAACCTGTTATAATATGTATATACCATCAATTTTTCTTTAAAAAGTCAGTTTAAAAAAATTATTTAACTTTTTTCATTGCTTTTTTTTTTTTTTTTGCTAATTTGTAAGCAGTTAGGTACACACTTTACTTAGAGTAGTAGTAGTACTTCACTTAACACAAGAAAAATGTAGACTGGACTGATATTTCATTTTAGTAGCAAAGGATTTGATGAACAAAAGAACCGAAAATTCATGTAGTCTAAGTTGGCTCTCGCTCTCTCTTTCTTTTTCTCTCTCTCTTTCTCTCTCTCTCTCTCTCTCTCTCTCTCTCTCTCTTTCTTTCTTTCTTTCTTTCTTTCTCTCCCTCTCTCTTTTTTCCCCCAAATAGTTCAAATTAGGGAGAGAGCACTGTACTTTGATATTTAATCATCTTTGGTGGTTGGTCTGTTTGTTATTTTGTCAGTACTGTACTCTTTTACTTGATTTTTTGTTTTTTCACCACTGAAGATGGTGTCATACAGAAGACTCCAGTGAAAATAGGCAGATCAGAATGACCGTGCTTTGAAATTTTTATCCTTTGTAAAATGTGAATGTTATGAAAATCCTTTACATTTTAATCAAGTGGTTTATTTTTAATTTTACAGACTAAGCATTAAAAGAAAAAATGTAATTATGTAAAGGAATATGTAAATTTTTAAACTCGCTAGGTGGGAAACTAAGTTCAACAAGAATGTGGAGGGATAAAATATAACTTCAAATTTTGTGTTTGGATGACTCCCAGATCATTATAAATGAGATTTGAATTCAGGACTTCATTCTTTACAATAAAATGATTGTACCACATTTTTTTTTTTTTAACCGCTAGTTTGATTTCGTTGTAAGAATTGATTCAGTAAGAACCTAATTTTTTCCAAGTTTAATCCTTGATATATTTTTTAAAATAAATATTTTGGGATCTAAATAATAATCACAGATTTTAATGTTTGCTTAGACGAAAAAGTTGTAATATTTTTGTTCCTCTTCATCTGTGGTGTGTAGTATAAAAAAAAATTATTTTTATAATTAATGAAAAATTGTTATTAGGACTAACACTAAGTAAAACAGTGCCTGGTTCTTGCCACTTATTGCTTGTACATTTACCCATTAATAAAAGCAACATGAAACGTTAGTTTAAAATCAAAATCACCTCTAAATAGCTATAGCATTCAGAGTAGATTCACGGACTTACTACAATTTAAAAAAAATGGTTTTTTAAAGAACCAAAATCAACTAAAAATAGCATAAATATAGGAGCTTACTTAACATTTAATTTAAAATTGTTTTTAATTTTAGTTTTGAAGATGCTGACAGTAATGTCGGAGTCAGGTGAAGATGCTAAAAATTTTGTCGACGATTTCTTGACATCTGGTAGAACGGGACGGCGCAATGCCTTGCCTGATATAATGGGTGATCACTCACTTACGTCTACAGCCGACCTTCCAGAAAAGCTAACAAAACTCACGACAAAAGGTATTTAAGCCATGAATTTTCATTCGACGTTTTGACATGTTTTGAATTTGTGTTTGTCAGATTCTCCGCAGGTGGGAACATCAGGAGAGGCGCCTCAAGGATCTGTGGAAGTTTCTAAGGAAGAAGACAACAAAGGACCAAGGTGAACAAGAGGCTTAGAGATGTCTCAAACTCTTGAATTGTGCCATTCTTCATGCAATATCCACGTAATAGTTTACATTTTATTTATGGTACGAATATCAATTTCTGAATATCTAACATAACGACAGTAGAGTTTTAAAGTAAAAAAAAAACAAAACAAAAAACAACAAAAAAACAGTATTGTCTATTCTGTGATTTTTTTGAGTAAATCAACAGTTTTATTCCAACAGAAATGTTGTAAAACTTATAAGTCGTAAGACGACTAAAGTATGTTTTTATTTTGAAGTTTTTATAGGTATATTTTATTGATAAAGAGTTTACATAGGGTAAGATTAATTTAACACTTCTTAACTGTATCCACTGCCATCAAGTGGACATTATTTATGTTTTTCTTCCCATGATATATAATTTATGGGACCAGATATACTAAATATGAGTTGAATTTCATCCTGAATCGGATTTTTTTGTTCCTTTTTCAGTATTAGATTTGAAATTAAGTTGCAAATGCAGGATATGAATCTCTCATCAGTTTTGTGGGAAATATAATTTGCTAACTTTTTTTTATTGATATAAACATTTAATCTTGAATCAAAAATGGTGAATTAAGAAATCATATATAACTCGCTACACAAGCTACAACACAAAATGTATTACATTTTTCACAGAAAAAAATGTAATGTAAATTGACAAAATGGTAATCAGTAACCAAATTTGTAAAATTGAATATTTTTGTATATTTAAAGCAAGTACAAAAAAATGGTAATGGTATTAAAAGGTTTTTTAATTGTGCCTCATGAAAATGCACGATGATTGAAAAAAAACTTTTTAGGTGTAAGGAAAAAAAAAGATAAAAATGGATTCAATTTTGGAAATTGAGCCAATGAAAGAAACTGTTACGTCCAATATTTTATATGTTCCACAAACATATAGACTTTTGTCACAAATTAAGAAACTTACGTTTTTGGTTTAAGTGTTAAACTAAGAACTAAAAATTATGTAGTACCAATGTATGTTAGTGTAATTGTGTTAACTAGTCTAATATATGTTATTTTATATTAAGGTTTTCGGAAGTTAAAAGTATTGTCGAATAGAAAATTCATCTTATAATTTCTAGTCAGTGATTAACTTTTTGAGCTACAGTTTAACTCATGTTGTAGAATATAGATGATTTGTTGGTAAAATTTTTATCAAGATTGAATAAATTTATATTATTACTACTCAATTGTTTGTGTTTATGTTTTTTTAATAGTAATTAAATTTATTAGCTTGTAGCTTTTTTCTGTTGTGAAGCGAATCTCTTTTTTTGTTATATGTTATGTGTAATGTATTGTGAATTAATTTATTATAATTATAAAGGTTAGTAAAATGTGGCCCAGTATTATGAAATGTATAAATTTATATATTTGTTTTTACAAAATGATACAGAAAAAATATGTGTATGCGATATTTGTTTAAATGTTATTAAATAACAGTGTAAACATGATGTGTTTTTTATATTACCCAATGAATTTTATTTTTACATTGCCTATTTTATTGAAAAAGTAAGTTTGGTCCCAAGTTAATTTTTTGCGTAGAATGTGCTGGTACTATTATACATTAAGCTGACCTGGTAGTCAGCTTTTTTTTAATGTATGCACTAGTTTTTAACATGTTTTGAGTCCTTTTTATTAAAAAAAAAATTATAACCGAAATTCAAAAATTCATCGATTTGTTTTGGAGATTGGGAGTTTTCCTTCAGAATTATAATTTCAATTAAGATGAATACACTATAAAAATTTTTTATAAGGGTAATAAAAGAAATTGTCATTGGACGTACAATTTGTTAATGAGAGATCCTTGAGAAAAAGACAATTCATACAAACTTAACTGAGAAAATGCTGACCTAGTGATTACTGATTCATATAAGCACATGGTGTACAGAGTTGTGCCTGTCACGTGCCACAGTCCACCGGCAACTTTAGCTTTTCTAATTTACTATAAATTACCGGCTGGCCGTAAGAATTATGCACCTTGGGTGTTAGCAGTCTGGGGCCAAACCTCAGTCATCCGTCCAGCTGAAGAGGTTGGGCTTCACAGGTATCAACAGCTACTCCACTTCAGCCCCAACACAATCAGTTCCTAAATCCATTTACATTATCACTCACTCTTAAATACATTCTTTCTTATTTACACAACGTTCACTTAGGGTGGTGGAATACTCACTTCTTCCATGATTCATATGGATACTCAGTACTCTGCTATCAGCCCTCTCACACTAATAATACAGTAAGACTCAATGTGCACAAAGAAACCCAAAACGAGATATCTATAATGTACTAACATTATATTGTATTGTAAGCAATCCTGTTTTTCCCCAAAGTCAGGACATGGGTCACAAATACTTGCTACTATGCTCAAGCTCAATTTTTACATCAGGTGGCATTCTTATGTACTCTCTATATGGAGCCAAGGAATTTGAATTGCACCTTTCAATTAAATGTAACAAATCGTGCCATGTTTCTCTGCATGCTGGACACACGTGGGCTCTGGCCATATGCCAACCTTGCATGGCCTATCCTTAATCTGGTGATGATGACCCTTCATCAGGTCCTTTTCCTACTCCCTCTAACTTACCTTCATTGTACTGGAGAGAAATAGGATGAATGATGTAAATTGCAGCAAGTGTTGAAAGGTCCTAGGCAAGAAAGTGAGACATTCTACTGCCTAGGTTGTAGCACTGGTGATAGATATTGGACGGTTCCCCAGCTTTAAAGAACACCATTCTACATAATTTATTTTTTGTACATTATTTTAATTAAATTTTTTTTAAAATGTAAATGGTATGTATTTATTAGTTTATAAATGGTTCAAATCTATTATATATGTACAACATTTTTTGTATGAAAATATATGAAATATATTTATTGCAAATTATAATTCTTAATAAAAAATATATATCAACTTACTTCCTCAAATTATAACAAAAAAAAAATTGTTCAAGTAGTTAGCTTCTTTAAAAAAGAAAATTATAAAATCAAAATAATAATAATAGTAATTAAAAAGTAAAAAGGGTTTTATCAAAATTGGAAACTAGGTGTTGTGTGGGGACAACTAAATGTTGTCTAAAGCAGTGAGTTTCATTGAGACCCATGGAAATACTAATTGTAAAAAAATATATATAATATATATCCTGTTTTATAATGAACGTATAAAGCCCCAGCGGTACCAAGTGAACCCTCATCCTCATGCCATGGCAACCCTTGGAACCACCTGAATGAGTTGGGGTTGGGATAGCGTTCTGGCCACAGTACCGCTTTTCACAAGCATTCAACGCTTGTTTTGAACCACTTTGGCCTGAAACAAAGCCCCGAACATGTTAGTCCTTGAGATTGGTTTGATAGTGATTTTTATTTTAAGGTTAATTTATCTCATTGTCAGTCTAGCTATTTTTTGCAATTAATATCTACTAATAATGTGCATATAGCTTACTGAATTAGATTTTCTATATCCTATTCCTGTCAAATGCACTCCCAACAAAATTTTTGCCAATTGAGACTGCTTGGTGTCAAGGGAAGTAACATTTAAAAAACCAGCCCCAAGCAGTAGGAGGGCCATTAAATTATTTGAAAAATTGGTACATTTGAAGTTGAGCAAAGAAAAGATGGCGGATTTTATTCATTTATAACCTAAGGATACTAAAAAACAAAAAATCTCATTTTGGACTGAGGGTGAAATTTGACCCTTTGCCAGCAACGTGATGGCTTCATGACAGATGCCCTGTGCGTTAGGACTAATTCAATGGGTACGAGGGATGATGAAGGCAGACTGGTACACCAGATGAATGATGTGGGGCTGGTTCGAGACGCTTTCCCATGCTATCCTCTGCCTGGAGAATCATTCAAAAATATGGAGGCAGATAGTGCCTACAAGTCCTAAACACCGGTCTTTCAGGTTGCCATCAAAATTCCCCTCTAAGCACAGGATAGGAATAGACTGGCCAAATATCATCGCCACTGATAATGGGCGAATATTTGTTTGGACCTTGCAGCATTGGATCGAGTCACGGATCTCATGGCAAGGAAATTCTATGTTAAGGGAAGCCCACACGGAACAACACAAACCGTTTTTTCGAGCAGCTGTGCAGTTCTGGGGGCACAAGGGTGCATACCTGACCATACTATAAAGACGCTTAGGGACCTCGGAATTAAACACCTCCTGAGTATGTTGCTCAACATTTACATTTTACTAACTGCTTTGAGGTCCTTACTATACATAGCCGGCAGACATAGTCAGAGCGAAGCTTTTCATGCTCTCGTCCTATCATTCCAGCCGTTGAGCATACCAACCAACAGTGACAGACCATGTCATAATGGTACACGATTAGACCTGAAGTATGGGCGAAGTTGTATAGTGGGAGAGCCAACTTAAGGCCTTTAAACACCTTAATTTACAAAAAATTAAGCAGGTGTGCCTTGTACAAATTACTACATATTATTAAAATGGTTAATTAATTATGATTACTGTGACTACACACATCCAATCTAATGTCGAACTTGAACCTTGGACTTTTATCATAATTATTACGCATGCAACTAGCTTTAATTAACAAAATATCAATGTTCAGCAATTGATTACAATTTTATATTTAATTATATAAAATTTCTTATTTTGACTGAATTGTATTTTAATTCTTATAAAAGATCTGAGAACTGTGTCAATTTTAAATATGTTAGATCCTTTATTAATATATTTTTTTTAAATTAATTAAAAACATATTCTTGATTTGTGATGTATACATACCTTTTTGTAAAACCTAATCCCAATCTGCGTTGAGTGTAATTTTTGGGTTTCATATATTGGAAGTATTAAAATAATAACACAGAAAAGAAAAACAGAAAACAATAAAACATCTGTAATCAGTTTTATCAAGTTATCAGAACAAAAATTAAGTAATTAAATTTTTTATAATCTTCTATCATATAAATTTTTTTAAATATTTTTTATATTGTGGCTGGTGTAGTATCTGAAATAAATACAATCATGAATCCACAACTTAAAATAAAAATAAATGAAAGTGGTCGTTTTTGAATACTATGAATTTTTTTTTTAAATGTCTGACAGGGAAACATACGCAAAATAGATGGTCTCACCCATCACTCGTATGCAACATTTTGGAATGAATTTTGAATGGAAAACAAAAATATTTGACTATCTCATTTTTCGTTTCCAAAACAAGATATCAAGTGTTGTGTGCTTCACCTCTAATTTTAAATGTGGGTTTTTTCAATATACAAGAACATCAATATACAAATCGCTCTCTAACAAACCACACTTGAACATATTTCTAAATAGAATCCATACTTACACACAAAAATACAGACTCACACTTACATAACTTATTTCAAACTTTCACATTTTCTTGCTTTTTTAAGGCCTTTTTTAAAATTTCTTTTTATATATATATAATTTTTTTTCTTTCTTTTTTAAACATATTAACACAAATAATGTCCCTTTCATAAAATTTGCAGGTTTTTTCTTTTACCACTTTTTAATTTCTTGAAATACTCCAATAACTGAAAAAATAAGATTTTGAAACAAAAAGAAAAAATATACGCTTATCAAAATAATAATTTAAACATTTCTGACTCCTATTTCTATACTTTTGCATGATCTAGAAATGATTGAATTTCATATAATATAGTTATTATGAAATATATTTATATTTATATATATAGTATGTATACAAGTATTTATAAAGGTAGAATCACCACAGTTCGTTTGCAACCGAGATCTCTTAATCAATATTATTAATTAAATAATATTAATAGTAATAATAATTATAGTAATAATTGTATAAATGGTAGTGTGTATGTGTGAAGAGATGTACTGAAGAGTGTAACCATAAGCTCAGAAGTACACGTATGGCTAACCTGGTAACAAAATTGCCTTCATTAATTGACAAATCGTTTTTTAAACTTTATATCTAATTACCTTGGATGAGACTAGGATAAGTGGAAAGATCGTTGCCCTTCTTTGGCAGCTATACTAAGCTTCTCTCTCATTATCTCGACTGTTGAGTAGTCTGGCAGTTTGAGATAATTAACACATGTCATCACAGATGGAAGAAAATCGTCAGCATTCATATTCCCATCGATAGTTTTTCTTACTATCGTGAGGGGAGGTGTAAGCGATTTAAACCCTGTAAAATAAATGATAAATTTACAAACTCAACTCTACAAAAGGGCAGATTGTTAAAACTATAAAAAAATTGAGCACCTTGATTGACATTAAGTGAGTATTTTAAGCGGGGAACACTTATCCGATGCAACACCACTCAATGCTACCCGACGCAAATCTTAAGTCCATTTTTCCAAGATTGGATTACCCCCATGCACATTTGCCCGATGCTATGCCACGCTAACTTACTCTACGCTCTACGATCCCCATGTCCAAATTTTCGATACTTCCTTCCCTACCCCTTCAAAATCCAACGTATATAAACATCATACAGCAAAATCTCACTGGCACTCTCAACACGACACGCAAGGATGGCACAATTACACAGAAGACAAACACTTTGAGCCCTGAAGATGATCTCAATAAAAGATCGAAACGTTGGCACGATAAAGAAAATGTTTTTCTGAAACCTACATCACACCCGACCGCAACTCACGATATCTGAATAACTAATATTTATAACATGGTTTTGCTCATAAAATTTAACTAACAATTTATTTCATGGTTTTGCTCATAAAATTTAACTAAGAATGTATTTCTTGGTTTTGCTCATAAAATTTAACTAACAATTTATTTCATGGTTTTGCTCATACAATTTATTTATTATATGGCTTTGCTCATAAAATTACACCATTTTTGTCGAGTAGCATCAGAACCGGACACTCATATTTTTTGTAGTTTACTTCAAACTATGTATATATAATTTTGTAGTTATATTAATTACAACATGCTTATTTTAATGTAAACCAAATTAAACGAGATCAAAAATTCATGAATTTTTAAAAAATTATTTAATTATGATGATTAAGCAGAGAATTTATCAAAACACCAGAATATCTTTATTTAACAAAAATTAAATTTAACTAACAATTTATTATATGGTTGTGCTCAAAATAATGCATTATGAACAAAAGAGGCGTTGCGAGTGTGATACTGATTTGTGATATACGCATGGCATGTATTTGACATCGCATAGAGGTGCACACACTACTAAAACGTGGCGAGGCAGTGGGTAGCACCTAGGGTCGTCGCGCAGCGTTGCATTGGGTGTGTTCCCCCACTTTAATTACACCATTTTCAAATAATTTATCAACATGCAGTAACCTTTTTGGGGACCAGTGATGATTTATCTCATCCTCATGGTTTTTTGCCTTTTAGGAGCCCTAGCTGCACATTTACAGCATCTATTGGACTACCCTATGTGTAGCAGACACCTTGGTAGTGAATCCCACACTCGTCTGTTTCTTTACTTATCATCAACTTACCCCCTTTTTCTACCCCATCTGTTCACAATTTGACCTTTAAAACTTTTCCTAAGTTGCCAGATATTCCTTTTTCTGGAAAAACCATTCAGCCACAATATCTACGTCTCATTTGGAATGTCCTATTTTCGTGTAGTTTTTGCCCCCTGCTCTTCCTGACCCTCTACCGTCTTGTGTTTCTGATTTTTCGCCTCTTGTCTATCCATTGCTCTCAGTTTTAGTTTTCCATTGTTTACGCTCACAGTACTCATCAAAATAAATTTGAGTTTTTATTGTCTTTTATTTATTTTGTTATTTTGGTTAATATGTTTCAAAATAAATAGTCAACATTTTTTAAGTCAAATAAATTTTTGCTTAAATGTAACTTTTCTTTCTTTCTCTCCTTACAATTTTATAATATCCCAGGAATGCACTGTCAAATTTTGAACCGAACTGATGATTAATACATTATAAATCAGGCTATCAGGGCTGAGGCTTTAGGCCAGGGAATGCATTTTAGCTTCTAATCAGTCCCAAAAAGGTTAAAAACTAGTGTTACTTATATTAACGATAAATGTTTGATAACTTACCTCCGACTGGCAATCTTGGCGAACCAGTTATAAACTGTATAAAATCCCTCTGCTCCTCGGGCCCGTACGCCGAGAGGATTTCAAATAAGAATTTGATCGCGCGAGAAGTAGGGTTATAACCATGATCTGGCCGGCACGATTCGACAATGCTAGACAGCTCCCAAGAGGTAGATGAGCCGCAGAACACAGCATCGAGTTCTTGCGGGTAGAATAACACAAGATGTGATATTGGAAAGACGCACTGCATGCCTTCTCGGACGCACTCCATCTGCCGGTAGACTCCTTCGACCAGGTACCAATGTACTACAAGCTGTACAAATTTTTTTTTAATATTAAACAAATCCAAGCTAAAATTGAATGTATTACTCACTTTACAATATTCTTCTAAGTTGTGTACTGTCACTGCGATATCTTTTCCTCCCCTTCTTAATTCAATGTGTGGATAACCTGGTAATGTGAAATCTAAACTTAAACTTTCTATTGGACATCCATCTAACTCAAGAGCGTCAATCTGTGGAAGAAATAAAAACAAAACAATTAAAGAATACTTCTTTTGTATCATCAATTTCAAAAGTTAATTAAACTATTAAAAATGTGTACATTAGCGTTCTTCTCTTCCTCTGTTCCTTCAGCGTTAAGAATCTCTTTGTATCTAGCAACGACTTGCATCAGTCTGACTAACGATTTATAAACAGAAGGGTTCACATGGGCCAAATCGGTGAGGCCGAGAGAGCTCTCTTCTCCAAGCAGCCAACGGTGAAATGTCTGGCTCAGTGGCAAGTCAAGCTGAAAAATAAAATTTTATTTAAAAAAAATGGAAAAAAAAATAACACCAATGACATACCATTCTAGAATCCATGACGGCCTTGGCCATAAACTTCCCGATGAATCTAAATTTTGTCCTGAGCTTCATCAACTGTGACACTCGCGTCGATCTAGGTATTGGAGCTGGGAAGAGACCGACAGGCGAGTAGACGTAACCTTCAGGCCCACCTCCTTCGTCATGCCACAACTCAAGTTCTGACTTTTGCAATTCTTTACTAACCAAGGCATAGAACTCAAGAGTCGGTCCCAGACCTGTACCAACCTGAACATAATAAAAAAAAAAGGTCGTTTTTGTAAGTAATAAAATAAAAATATGTAATGAATAACAAAAATTTTTTAAATATTCACTTCTTGGTGCGTACATGCAGTAAATTTAAATGACTGGCCATCTAACTAGTGTAATTAAAAATTACTAAATAACAAGATTTAAACATTTGGAAAAAAAATAAATAAAAAACATATCAAATAAATGGGAATTGGCATTAAATTTTGCAATTTTGAGAACTGGAATGAAGCAACGGGAAATGCTCAAAAAATGTTGAAAAAATTACTCGATCCTCCCTCAAGTGTTTTATCATTATGCATTAAAGTTTATATGGAAAATCATTATATTTTAAGTGTTATTACGATAATATCCAAAATGATGTTTGGAATAAAACGCCCACCTCGTTTTCATATTGTACTTCCAAAAGTGCTTTACTCGAAGCCATGTCCTGAATTAACGATTCTGCTTGTTTAAGGATGTCTTCTCTTGCGACAGTGCGTTTCCTTCTGTCAAGACGTGGTGTCACCCTCTCCTGAGAGTCCGATGAGCCCGAGAGCTCAGGCGACGCATCGAGGAGTCTCTGCAGTGCCCTGTCACGGTCGAAAGCTGTCGCGTATAGAAGCAGCTGTCTCGTTTCAAAAGGCAAAAGGAATGGGCTGTAAAATAAAACGACAATTAATTCAAATTGTCAATTGAATGTTTTAAACCATTTCAGAAAAAAAATAATCACCAAGCAGCTGTAATTTGTTGAAGCCAACTTGGAAGATTTCCAGTCAATATCACCAGCGGGTCTTGTAGTTGCCTTCCGGCTTTTGCAGCTATTTTATTATTTACAAACTCCTGCAAAGACGATAATGTAAGCCAATAATATCCTATAATAATAAATATAAAAAAAAAAATTACCTGTTGATACAAAATTGGCGATCCTTGAAGAGCTGGGTACAAAGTTGTCCAGTGCATTGAAATGGCATGCAAAGCCTTAAGGAGACAAAGGACTGGCAAAGAAGCATCATTGGTAGTTACTTTATCACTAAGATCACTTACGAGGTAGCGTTCCATTGCACATAACCTTACAGGTACCTTTCCTTCTACAATCATAAATAATTTGTACTGCATTTCAAACGGACTTTTAAATTTTTAGTAAACTACCTTGCCACAATCCATCGTATTTCTTCTTTGGGGCTGCTTTTGAATTGGAGCCCTTACCCTTTCTAGGGACGGGATTACTGTTGGTAACTGGCTTGCTGGGCGTCTCATCCTCGACCACTGGTCTATAATGAACAGTGTGAGTTTGTACCCATATATTGGCACTTCCGAATGGAGCTTCCGTATCAGTGTCAGTCTCTGATTGATCCGAAGGGGCTGCTGCGGGTGAAAACTGCCTGACCGCTTGATACACAGTCATGTTGTAAGGGAGGACAGTGTCATTTATAAGAAACTGCAGCTTATGCCTTGCACTCCCAACAACCATACCGACCTGAAATGGCAACTTGTGTTTTAAATTAAATTTTAATAATCAATTAACCAATTATTAATACCAAGGTGTCATCGATGTCTTCCTCGCTATTGTCATCATCGGACTGCGATGAGTGTTTATCACGGACTTTGGCATAGCCTCTTACAACCATATACCTCTCAATCGCTTGGACGAGAGCCAGAGGGTCAATTTTAACCGTACCGCCTTTCCACTGCTTCAAACTTGTACAATCAGGGTGGCGAAATAGTTGACACTGCAAAACATGATCATCACATACGGTTCACTTTATTTTCAATTTAACATCGTCTTACCTTGAGTTGGTGGGTATTGAAAAATCTAAGTGCAGTTGTGCTACCAGCAGGGGCGGGAAGATCATGAACCTTAACTGGGAATTGTTCCAACTGGGATACACAACTGTTGAGCTTTGAAATAAGAACTTGAAGACAAGTCGGGTCAAGTGTGGTTAACTCTCTAACACCTTCTTCAAGCTTAAAATGACAATAAAATCAATCAAAATGAAACTAGTGTTTATTGCACATTTAAAACTTACTGGACATTTGGCAAACACGTGAAGGAAGGTTCTAATTCTCGAATCTCTTGATTCTGTCTTATGGGTCAAGTATTCAAGGAGAGCTTTGACTAATCCCGAATGATTTACCTCAAAAGGTGAAATATCACAGCGCATTAAGGTGTTTCTAAGTTCAATTAAGGCAGCCATTTTATCAGTACCATCCTGAAATAAAAATAAAATAAATAATTAAATATTGGGTGTTAAAGGTTTTTCATTTTTCAGAAAGAAAAATGTTTCAAAATGTATTAAATTTTTAATTCAAACTTTAATCCAACATAATTTTCTTTGTTTTCTATAAAATACTGCCAACTAGAGATGGGAAAACTGCTTTTTTTAAGAATTGGATCAAAATCGCTCACTCAGTGAAATGAATTTATCTTTTCATGAATAAACCTGCTTATGAAATGAACCTTCTTCACTTAATTCTTTGTTTTTATTATTATTTTTTTAAAATTGAAATGTATTATTGGCGATATTAAAAAAAAGGTTGAACAGTTTGTCATTTCATTAACCTAACAATTAACAACCCTGTGATTTTATTACCTTTTTCTTGTGAATGAGTGAATAAAAATAAAAATTATATAGACACATAAAAGTGCATATTTAATGTAAAATTTTTTTTTATTAAACTTAAAATAAAAAGAAATTAATACAATTTTTTTTAAACTCGCAGAACTCAACTGTAAACATTTCTTGAACCCAGGTATAACTTGTAAATAAATAAATAAGATGCATGTAATTTTGAATGCTGAGAAGAGATATCACGGAGCATTTAAACACTTGAACAAGTGAGAAAGCACAAAGGAATCTTCGGACAGCCTGAAGAGGTAAATTAGAAGAGCAGATTGGTGAGAGCGTCTGGAGGGACAAACGGGGGTTCAAGTCACTTGATGTTGGGACAAAATTCAAAATTAAGTAGCGTTGAAGAGTTGGTATTGGAGTTGAGGCGAATATCAGAGCTACCGCTCTTCTTCAGAGTGTTCATCACTCACTCGCAAAATGGGTTCACTCTTTTAATCAGCTTGTGAGCGGAGCCCCATCACTATATTTTTATATTTGTACAATTTAAATAAGAATCTTTAAAAACGTATAGCAACTCTTTTAAATCTTGAATTAATTAACTCTTAATTAATTCAAATTATTGCAGTTATTATTTAGTTGTAATTTATTATTTTTATCTGTTAAGTTTTTAAATCCTGAATTTTTATGTTTGTTCTTCTGAATGTTCAGTTTTGGGTAATTTGACCCGCTTTAACTGAAAAATAAATAAATAAGTAAATCCACGTAAATTTCCGATGCTCTTTCAAGACTGAACTCGTATAGAAAGGATTGATTCAAATGAATTTTATCTGCTTCCGTCGTACACACTGTAGTTTACTCCAGATTGAATTTTGAGATCAACCCCTTTCTTAGCAATCTATCTGAATAAGGTTTTTCCAGGATAGAACTAACAGGGTTAGCTGGTAATAAAGGATTGCCTTTATAAGGGTGAAAGTTGACATTTGAAAAAACAGAAAAAAAAAAAGATGGTCACACCCAATAAATATTATATATTTTATACATTTGAAAGTTACCTCTGCTTGAAGAGCTGATATGGCTTGAGTCAAGCTAGTTAATATCCTGTTCGGATCTTGCAGGCCTTCAGAATTTTCACAAGGGGTTGAATAATTTGCAATAAACTTTGAACTCCTCTCTCGGACCCAAGTCCTAACCTTTTCTCGATTACCGGCCCAAAGGTTTGAAGAGCTAGCACATTTTGCCAGAGTGGATTCCTAAAAAACAATATAAAACTTGCACATTATGCGTATGTTTGGAGATTGTGATCTTTAAATAGTCGTTACATAACTATCACTAAATATTACACATTATGCATATTTTTTCAAACTAACCTTGAGGTAAGTGACTTTTTGGAAATTTCTCTCTGACGCCCGACCCCATCTTGCAGGGTTGAGCGATGCTAAGAAGTTGCTCGTTTTTGAAGATGCTCCTGACATACGTGATCTTGTACCACGGCTACTTAAACTTAAATTATTTGCTAAAAGGAAATAAATTATATATAATATTAAAAAAATTAAAAATATACTTACAAAGAATTTTATTAATATAAAACTAACCATGCTTATGCTTTGTAAATAGTTCATGAACAGTCGATTCTTCACTGACTTTAGAGTGTTTTTCGCGTTTTGTACTCCTTTTTGGTTTTCTCAATTCCCTCATCCTTCTAGTTATTGGGGAACAGTCACTCAGAGGCATTTCTTCCTCTTCAACATTAGCCCCTTCTTCATTCTCATTCTGTCCCTCATTTGCGTTTGCTTCAGAAGCTGAAATTTAACAAGTTAAGAAAGTCTTTTTAATCAATTATTTTTCTTGACTTACAAAGTTTATAGGCAGCTCCATTTGGCGTACTGCTAGCTGACGACGGACCTGGAGTAGATGAATCCATAATTGAAGAAGATTCGTGAATGGGTTTGGAAGGGGAAGAGCCGATGGGCACTGCTGGGTCAGCTAACTGCTTAATCTCATGCATAACACCTAACAATTAAAAAAAAAATTGATTAATGTTGCTGCCATGTTGAAATATTTGTGACTTGTTACCTTCTCGAGTGAAATGTACACTAAACACTTCGGGAAGCTTCTGCATGAGAATTTCGGCGATTTGAAGTGCTGATACTACTATTCTAAGATCTTGTGATGCCATCATTCCTGCGAGTTGACTAGAAACTGTTTGAGCTTTAAGAACTTCCTTAAGAAGTTCTGGAGAAGCGAAATAGACCATTCTGAGCAACGCTTTTAAACATTTACACCTGACTGCAGGCCCAGCTGAACTTGAATAGACTTCGTAGAGGACACTGAACAAAGATTTGATAAATGCCCCTGCGACATCTTTCAAATTGTTATCGATATTGCTGGAAAACAAATAAATTATGAAATGCTAGGACAAAAAATTAAAAATAAAAAAAATAAAAAAAAGATACCTGTCTTCTACTGGAATGCCATTGTTGTTATTTGTTTGCATAACTGAATAATTGCTTGAAGTAGAAGTAGTTGACTGCTGTAAAAGTGCTTGAGGTCTAGTAACTCTTCTTTCTATAGGTCTCGATGTCCCTGTATCTTCGTTGATTTGCTGCATTGATTGGAAATCTACGGTATAAGTCCTTCCTAAAGTTGAGAGTGACATGTCTTCTTCACCGGATTGATGTGCTTCCTGGAATTGAATCAAATTTGAATTGGCAATCGATTAGATCGACTTTTGTAAAATTACCTCGATGATTCTAGAATCTATAGGAGTATAAGCATGCCACACTCCCATGTCATCCCTCCAAAGCCAAGTGACAGCTTCTGGTACTGATTTCGGGCTTGGTCTATCTAAAAGCGTGTCAACGGCAAATAGAGCATGTTGAGGCAATCTCGGCATCAGCTCGCTGATCAAGCAAGTCATTTCATAAACCTCTTGAGGGGATCTAGCAACCAACTCAATCTAAAAATTAACACAAAAGTTAAAATTCAATATACTGAATATTATTTAACCTTAAAGGCTCAATCTATATTAAAATGGAATGGGCCGGTGGGACACTCAGGTGTGTTCAAACTCCTTTATTTTCTTTGATACTTGGTGAGGAAATGTTCTACCTGCTCTATCCGGCCTCAATTTGACCCAATGAGTTCCGATTACTAGATTTTTTTAAACTTATAGTGTCCTAGTTTTTCGAGCAGATAGTGCAGGTCCTGGCCTTGGCTACAAGGCCATAAGACACTACAGTATTGAATATTTTAACACTTTCTGTACGCAGAGGCATGTCCGAAGTTAACATCCAATGGGCCGGTGGACGATCTTATACGTCCTTCACCATTCATTTTTTTCTCGTGATTTGTGGGGGTAAGCTTTGTGTGAAAACGTTCTACCTGCCTCTATCGGCCTCATTTGGAACCAAACTATCCTATAATGCATTTTGGCTAATTCGTTCTGATCCCATTTTTTTTTTTTTTTTTTAAATGTCCCAAAATTCAGCAAAACACTTAAGTATATGTTATTAATGACATTTTCATGCATTTATTTCTTCAAATTGATTTATCAGAACCTATTACTTACAGTTAAATTATTGATTTAAGATGTTTTGGAGCTTTTATGACTACTTATTAGTATTATAAATAATTATAGTTTGTTGCTATTAGGGATGTCTAAGGAACAACCCTATTTTCAGATAAAACTAGTAAAATACTGTCAAGGACAAAGTGATGTGGAAAACAGGTTCTTGAATAATGAAATAGTTTGGGTATGCTCCTGGAGCGTCCTACTTTTTCAAGCAGGTAATGCGGGTCCCGTGCCGGCTAAATGTGAAGTGTTAAGCGATTGTATAAATTACCTCCCCCTGAGATGTATCGGCTCTTCCAGTCAGCAAATAGCAAAGCGTCTCTGCAATATTATTTTTCAGAAGAGTCAGAGATAGCTCTGGGCAGTTCGCGCACATCGTAGTCAGCATACGCACAACTGTGATGAATGTGCCGGTGTTTATAAGAGGCGGTGAAACTACCAACTAAAAAAATAAATAAAAGTACATTAATTAAATGTTTAAAATTGAAAATAAGTTTTGGATAATTTATTCAGATTACTTACCAATTGCTGCAGATTGGTTAAAAGTTCACTATTCGCAATTTGCATCAGCTTAGAAGGATCGGACTGCAAACTGTCTGTTAGTCTGCTTAAAGCTAGGCATACACTTTCAACACTCTTTTGGTCCTAGAATTATAGTTACAAATTTTATAAACAAATTAATGGTTTAATTTGTAATTTACTTACCTGATGTGTAAGTCTACTTGACAAAAGTGGGATTGACTGAGATACAAGGGGTAATTCTTCTGGGAGAAGATTGTGGCAACAATTTGCGGTAATGGCAAGGGCAGCTCTTTGTGCATTAATACTAAAGAAATCCAGGTACATTAAACAGGCCCACACTCCACGCTGAAAATGTTTTCATGTTAAAATGCTGTCGGAAAAATTTGAAAATATTTAATTGTATACTTACAGCTTGAAGAATGGCTTTGCTGTGCCTCCTTGAGAGCATTTCGAGTGCTGTGAGAGACTGCTCAGCAACATCCATGCACTGAATAGCTTGAAGTTTTTCCAAAAAAACAGGTACAGCGTCTAAAACTACTGCTGATGATCTTGGTAGAGCTTCCATCATGTAAGTAAGGGCTCTGCAAGCTTGGTTCATCTAGTTCAAAAAAGAAAATTGTTATAAACTATTTTTTTTCTTTTAAGTATAACAAGTAGAAAAAACAACCATATCAAAATTATGCTCCATATTGAGGAGAGCAATTAGAGCAGGAACAACTTGCTTTATAGGAAATCCAGCCAATGTATCTTCATTACCCATGACTAGCATCTGACACATTTCAATCACTGCTTGCATTTGTTGCCCCTCATCGGACGTCGCTTGAAGGCCTTGAAGCAACTGCTGGGCTTTGGTTGCTGTAAAACAAACCCGTGAATATTCAATTTTCTTTATAAATCTTTAAAAGCTTACTTGTGTTGGTTCCAATCGTACGATGAAGGAGGTGGTGCATTCTCGGCGCGAGAGCACCGAATAAGTGAGGTGGGAGACCCCTTGCTTCCAAAAGCGCTTGTAAGCGTCCGACTTCAGAATCATCACTCTCGGAATCGATTCCGCCGCCTGTACCTCCCCCACCTACAGAACCATTCCCGGTACCTGTGAATTGTAAAATGTTATTGTCTTCCTTCGAATAGAAAAAGGATAAATTATTTTTACCTGAAGGTGTTGCATTGTCACAGGGAGGCTGCTCTTCAGCCATGTTACTACAATCACCAACTTTGCTGCTGTTGGAAAGTCCTCCACCTCCACCCCCTCCCCACCGCCTACTAAAAATTAATTTTACAAATGAGTTACTAAATAAAACCATCATTATTAAAAACTAAAGAAATAAAAAAAGAATAATAAATAAAAAAATATGTCGTTAAATAGAAAAAGATCTAAATTTTTTGTCATACTTGAAAAACTAACTTGTTGACTTTTATCAGACTGAATAATATGATGTACATAATAACAATAAATAATGCATATTACTAATACTGAGAATAACTTGCTTGTAGTGATTTTATTAAAAGAACAAAAACATCGTTAGCTCACTGCGCAGCAATTGTTTGCTATACAGAAGTGGCCTCTCCCTAAAATATTTGGATCTAATCATATGCTGAGGACAGAAAAACTGCATTAAGGTTTTCTAGTATGGGGAAAACTTTTCGAAGAGAAAACATAACCAATTGTAGTAAAAGTGAAAAGCTAAAAATTATTATATGCATACTTTTTTTTAATTCTCCTGATTTTTACTTTATGGACGTTAACTATGTCTTTAATAATTATTATACTCTTGTCTCTGAGAAGGGTTAATTTTCTTATTTAATTTTTTAAAATTATAATTGTAATATTTTAGAAATATATGTTTAATCATGATTAGAGCCTGAATTTGTATGCATTTTGTACTCAAAATAGTAAAATACACAAAATGAATGACAGAGAAATCGTGCAAATTATGTAAATATTTTTTTCATAGACTTTTTATGGTCTAGTGCATATTCATTTAGAAAGGATAAAATTTCAGTCACACAAAAAATTTTATAATTAGAAATATTATACAAATAAAATTATTGTTCATGATTGAATTAAAATTGAAGATTGTACAGATTTCGAATTTTGTTTCTGTACAACTACAGAGTTTATTGCTTGAAAAATATCTGTACAAGCCTTGAAAAAGACCTTTCAACATAGACAGAGAAGATGGGACATATTTATTGGAACTTAAAATTGATCTTTGATTCTGAGTATAACAACTTAATTGTTTCCATTTAAGATTTCATCAATTTGCCACATTTCAGTCAATGTGGTACTTATTTTTTTTTAACAAGAGTTCACAATGGCAGAGTATATCAACTCTTGGGGTGTTTTTTTTTTGGGGGGGGGAGGGGAGCCCATTTGTAAGAATGTCGGGGTCAAATGCTGGATTCGAACCCGGGACCCTTTACCTTACAGTAATGGGCGCCACGTCAATGCCTAAACCGTTGCAGCCACCGACTTCAACATGGTACTTTAATAATGAATTTTTAAAATTTAATTTATCATATAATTCCTGCATCGTGGGGGGATTTAATTAATTTATGTTTTATGTTGAAAGGAAAAATCCAGCCGACTGTTTTTAGAAATTGAAGTTTGAAACTGAAGAAAAAGGCATTTTGCTTAGGTTTACTGGTTGAAAACTTGAAAGAAGATGACACTGAGTATTTTTATGTTTCAAATGGTTCCTATATCTACAACCTGTCTATTCCAGAAAAATTAATCTTTCAAAAAAGGGAAAAAGTTTTAAGTTTTGTTCCTGGTAAGTTAACTGATATTGAAATTAAAATTGTTATTATTCCTTTAATGTTCTTAGTTGTGTAGTTTATTTTTATTTTTCTGAGCATTCAAAATGATTTCAAATTTTCGAATTTATGCAATATTCTTCAAATATGCAGAATAAAATTTGGCTCACCATACTACAGAGGTATGATTCGGATTAATTTCTAATCATGAAGGTCCTAAGTGTTAACAAAAAGAGCGCAATTACATACAAATATGGGCTCTACTCATTATCTAGATAGCTAAAGAATTTGTTAAATTAAGCTGTTGAAAATATGTAGAAAGAAGTAAACTAGTTAATTTAATAATTTTGAATATAATTACAGTAAAACCTCCATTATCTGGGTCCTGGGTCTCCTGATACATATAATACAGGTATATTTTGCATATACATTCGGTATATATAAGTGTCACTTCTTATTTGATCTTATGTCTTGTTCCTAACTCCTACCGGTCTGTTTTTACATTCAGTCATTACGGACGGCGGTTGTTCTGGCTTAATGCACTAAACCCTTCCCTATTTGCAGATGTCATTCCAAAAACCTGCGTATCTTCTGCAAAACCCACCTTTTGAAGCTTGTTTGGGTGTTGGGGGTATTTTTGGAATGAAATTGGTATCACAGCCTTTAGTATCAAAAACTGTTTTCGATTTGACCTTTTGGAAGTTTTTAGACTTTTTGAAGAAAAAAAAAATTTAATCAAAAAGTTTTCTGTTATATACGTATTAATCAAAGTAACATAAGTGCGATGCGTGTCTTCTTAATTCACCTTTAAATTAACACTTCAAAAAAATAAATTCCATTTATACAGGTTTTTTATTTTCTGTAGACTCTGTCACTACCCTGGAAAATGGAGGTTTTAATGAAGCAATGAAACGGATCAATGCAAACATGATCTATGATGATTTTAATAATTACTTAATACTTAACAATAAAATGTAGTTAACGTCAAAAAAGCAACATTAGTAACAAGAATTCCATGTACTTGGTAATACATAAGTGTCTCCAATAGTTTAACAAATAATTAAAATTTTCTTTGAATTTGTTTGACACTTATATATTTTTGTATATTTCTTTCTTATTTACTAGAGAAAACACGATAAAAAAATATTACCATGTCACCCACCTCGTTGAAGTACAGGATCCCGTGGTTGCTGTGCGTCTACAGCTACTTTCTTTGTCAACTCCCTCACTGCTACTACCCTCTACCCCTGTTAGACAAATTAAAAGTTATAAATTCATCATCACAGATTTAGCTTAAAACCAAGGATAGTCATGTGACCTGCAGCGTCCTGAGTTGTGCTATGTTTCTTGTTTTTATGGTCAGTGTGCTTGGACAAGGGTTTGTTTTGAACTTGTGAGCGAAGAGAGTAATGATTAAGGAGTTTCTTCACACCGCTAAGCTCTCCACCAGCCCTGCTACCGCTACAACCACTACTGCAACTACTACTGCTACTGCAAGAGCCTTGGTGGCCTTTATTCGAAATGCCTTTTTTACTTGTGCCAGCGGATGACTTGTCTCCCGCACTGGACACAGACCTGTAGATGAGGCTAATTATTCTAATTTAAGATAATTCCAATGAAAATTAAGCCATTTACAAATATTACATCTTTAAATTAATTTTATTGCGTGCATTGACATTACCTTGACCTTCTATCCTGTTTGTGCGGTTTTGATCCCGCTTTGTCCCCTTGGGATCCCAAGAAAGAGGTGGAAGGTTTGTAGTCGGATGGCCCCACTTTGTTACTAGAAGTACCGACTACGACACTTCCAGGGCCCCGAGGCACCAGGCTCCCCGTGGTGCCTCCTTTTTGTTGCAAGTCTCCCTTAAACCTCTTACGAAGTACTTCTACAATAAAAAAAAATTGACCAGTTTTCAAAATGCCTCTTTAAAAACATGAGATTCAACTTACCTGAAGAGTCAGAATTGAGGCTAGCCTTCAATTCCAAATCGCGTTCTTTTCTTGAATTGGCCTACAGGCAAAAATACGATATATTGTGAAACAACATAGGTGTGCAAGGTGATGAAACTATAAGCTTAATCGTCTCTGACCATCCATTAATCGCTATTATTATTTATTATTACTTTGGCATCAATAACGACCAATCTCTTGATATAGTTTAACCAGAATGCCAAAAATTGCCTGATGGACAAAGCTAGTGAGAGAGAATACAACAAAGATAATCAGAGATGATACTGCTAAGATAAGATTTTGTGCCAACAAGTAAAGTATGAAAATAAAAATACTAAATAATGCTAGAGAATATAATTCCCATCAACTATCTGATATAGGTCTTCACTGATTGTTAAAAGCAAATAAATACTACATTATTATATATTTTCTTTTCTATTTTTCTATTCAATGTTAAAGAAGATCTTAATTTTCTTTATCTCTTTTTCTTCTAATCGTAATCCCTTTCTTTATTTATCTTTTACTATTGTGCTGTACTTTCTTTTAATATAGAAAGAATCAACTGAACAAAACTGAGTGTCTCCATTTTAAAATAATAATTTCTAAATTTACAATTGATTATTTTTTTATTGATATGAACAAGACTTTCCTCTTACATATTTCAATAAATTTATCTTTTTAAAAGTAAAATTTTATTTTGAATGCACAAAACTTACACTACTGTTGCTACCCTTTTTTCTCGTAGCGTCTGACGGTTGGCTATTAAACAAAAGACAAAAAATTAACAAGATTGTAATTTAGTTAGTGTCGAATAAAAAATGACATCGATTAACAAACCTGCTCTCCTGATCTGGTAAGTGGCTGACAAGGCGTGGACGTTTTCTCTCTTCGGAATGTTCCTCGGATGAATTCGCCTGTGTGGGGTTGTGTTGCGATGTTTTGTCCACAAGAGACCTCCGTTTTAAGCCCCGGCCCACTTTCAACCCACGCCCAATGCTAAAGGTAAGAAGTAAATATTTGAACTTAATTTACAAATTATAATAATTAACTTGTAGAGAGAAATTATTTATTATGACAAGAAAAGAAGAAACTCATTAACTCTGATTAACAATATACTGAGGCGTATTCTGTTAAGAGTAAACACAACTTTTGCCCTCTTGGGTAATCAACTTTGATTATAATACATCTGACAACAGATCAAGAGTAAATATAGATCAATAAGGAAAAACCGAATATTTTATTTTAGAAAATAATAAAAGGTTTGAATTTAAAAATTTTCAAGAAGAAACATTTGTTGCAAAATAATACAATTCCTTTTACTTCGTTCAATCTTTTGTTGTTTTACAACTTTAGATTATAATGAAAAGTGTTATGGCTTCGGAGCCCAACAGCAGTTCTGGGTACTTAGCTTTATTTTGAAACTGATCACTCGTGATTTAATTTTTAAGGAACAGTGAAACTTCCGTTAACGGACACCTCTAAAAAGCAGACACCCTTGAATGAACCTTTCTGATTCCCTTGCATTTCCCCACTAGTTTCTTCACTGTAAAATCTTCTATAAAATGGTTACACCCAATAACGGACACGGACATCTTTTTCAACTATATTCTGACCCCAAAACTCTCCCAAAAGCGGACAGCAGTCTCCCAAAAATTAAAATTTTCTGAGAAACTCCACTGTTTTGCCTATGTGTTTTGTTCACCTTCCAATCCAGTCCTTTGTCTCGCATTTTGCAAACAAGTTTACATACTTATTTTCATTTTGACCTCAAAATTCAACGCAAAAATATCAAATATGCCTTTCTGCAAGTTTTTGAAACTTAAACTATAATTAAAGTGGGTGAAAGTCAAAAACTAAGTATGCGAGACTTGCTGCAAAGTTTTCCATCGGAAAGACCCAGACAAGTGAAATTCTAAAGAATAGAAAGAAACTTCTAAGATGAATTTTATGAACACGATAATGAATGAATAAAACGTTTGATTCGGCCATAGACCAGGATGTATTTGAATGGTTTTGCCATGCTCAGGCTGGGAACACACCACTGGTCTTGATCGGCTTACATGAGAAAAGGCTTTAGAAGAAGCACAACATTTAGGGCCAACGGGTTTTAAAGATTTTCAGTGCGACAAATTTACAACGCAAATTTATTGGATGAACATCAATAGACACTGAGATTATAGAAAACGACAGATAAATTTTAACAATATTGAACCGATTTTAAGCTCAAAACATTTGTAATTGCGATGAGTTCATCACTGTAAGGTAAAGGTCCCGGGTATGAATTCAGCGGCCCTGCATTTGAACCCGACATACTTATAAACTTTTTTTTTCCAAAAACACTGACAACCCAAGGGTTCAAATAACCTAACAGTTGAAATAGCGTTGTAAAAAAATAAGTAAACATCTAATGAAAGGATTAATTACATATTTTTTTATTAAATTCTTTCAAGAAGTAAATAATAAAAAGAAGGAAAGAAAAAAAAAGTGATGACACTGCCTTATTTTTTGGTGCACTTCCAGATAAAACTATGGGATTAATAAAAATAAAAAAAGTGGTGTCTGGGAGGAAAAGTTTGAAAGGAATGAACTTTGCTCTTATGCACAAATATGCTCGGTGAATTTGAAAACCCTCTGGTCATGGGAAAGGCTAAAATCCTCCGTGTTCAAAGGTGTCGATATTTTGTAGTCTTCATTGTGGCTTATCTTGTAATACTAATTTTTTTCCACTCTTATCCCAAAAGTGGACACCTCTGTACAGCAGACAATATTTCAACCGTTATACGGAAGTTTCACTGTATATACTTCAGCTAATTTGGACAGGCCATAAAAATAAATCAATTTAAATAAAATAATTTGAAGAGGTGATCATTCATATCCACCACTTGGATGATAATAATTCTGTATGCTTCCTGATTTTTAAAAAAATATTTTTGATGACTAATTAAAGAAAGAAGAACACACAAGAAAGATTGCTTGATTTGTAATAGGTTAGAATTAGGCCAATGTTTGATTTTTAGGGGCATTCAGCCAAAGTAATATCAATCCTCAGAGTGCCACTGGGTTCAAATCTATGATCCTCTCAGTGATGAGTTGCCATGTCAATGGCCAAAACCGTCATGGCCACAGGCCGAAATAGTAAAAGTTTTGTATTAAACTTTGACTTAGCAAAAATTTAAATTTATTTACATATTTTTGATTTTTAGAAAACAGAAATAAAACAACGGTAATAGCTCCAAATAAAATTTCCCTAGTGGTTACATCAATTAAGTGTATATTTGTCAATTTAAATTTAAAACAATTGAATAGATAAAACAACATTTAAAAATAAAATTGCGCAAAATTGAAATGTAGCGAGCAAATTACCTGAGGGTTGAAGTTACCGAGTCGGGCGGGTGATTGAGGTGACTGTTACCCCCTTGCCTACCCTGTTCTGCCATAGACTCCAAACTCCCTCCAGTAAGGCATGCCACAACACAATCACAAGAGCCTGGAACAAGGAAGAACAAATAAATCAATAGAACAATTCAATCTCATCCCTTCAATACAGCATCTGATTAATTTGACATAATGTTCAAAACTTGACCCGCTTCAAATTTCTATATTTTTTATATATGTAATTTTCCTACATACTAATTTCAAAATTCTATTTAGGTAGAGGAGAAAGAATTTTGAAAAAGGAATTACAAGAATACAAAGGAAACCTGCTCAAAATTAAAAACTAAAGTAAAAGAATGAGTTAAAATTTAATAAACGTGAAACTGTAGTTGCAATGAAAATTCTGTGGTTTTTGGGTAAAGTGGTATGTGTGAATTTTTTCAATGTTTAGCAAACACCACTCGCAATTTCACTAAACTTAGGTCCAAATTAACCAATCAAAATTGCTCAAATACCAGACATTTCTTTTTGACTTAAATGAAGCAAAAAATCCAATTTTCACAAAAATAGACTCGAACCCTTTGACCCCAAACATCATAGAATTAATGTGTTCAAATGAAATAAAAATTAATAGATTTACCCAGTATTGATCAAAAGTACGTTTACTCATATTATGCAATTATTTATATTAAAGTAATAATCCAACTGTACATAATATGATTCTAACATTTGTATTTATATACTTTTGTAGGTCATATTAGCCAAAGTATATTCATTTGAAGAAATTGATTAATTATTTTTATGCAAAGTGAGGTTGAGATGGAAAGTGTATAAGTGGGACCAAACCCACAACCTCTGGATAAATACCCCAAAGCTGTACGACTTGAGCTATTGTGGCGTCGATTCCTGATAATCCATGTTTACACAATATTTGAATATTGGCAACAGAAGAGGATAATTTAAATAGCTATAGGTTGAGATGATGAGTTTGTGTCGTGGTGACCAAAGTCACGACAACTCAAGACTAATCCGGATGTAGTGGGTTAAAGTCCCGCTTGCAGTGCTTTTTCATCACAATCACACTTTGCATACAACTAATTACTCTAATATTTGTTTTCTTTTCATTTAGTTCAGCCACTTGCATTATACTATGTTTTCATCTTTTAACAAGAAATGAATTTACAAAAAGACAAATGAAATCTAAAAGGAATCCATCATTTTAGAATTTTATATTATCTAAACCAGGCTGTCAAATTCGTATCAATTATTGTTAAAACTGATAAGAAATGATAAAATGTTAATAAAACAAAACAGTGCTGTTAAATAAAACAGGCGTTTTTTTTATAATAATCTTCTGTTATTAGGCTTAGTGTTTAAACTAAAACATCATTCCTTGCAACTTGCTCATCTCTAGATATCTCAAGGATGATCAAGGCGTAAAAATTAATGACTGAAAATTCTATCAGTCCGTATTAATTTTATATTGATTGTTTAGTAATATGTATTAGCACAACTTATCATGTGAATTGTTAATCAAATATAGACAGTAATTATGCTATTTTAATTGTACGAATTTTTCCACAAGCTATGTTTAAAGATTACAAAATACTTTATTTTGCAGAACGAATGTTTTTCCCTTGTTTATCACGTTTTGACACATTTGCCTATCATTTAATGAAGTGTTACAAAGGCATGCTTATTCTCTGGTGTGTTGAAACTACAAGCGGGGACTTAATTTCTTAAGTCAATTAACATAAATAAAAATGGGATTAAATTAGAGAGTACTGACGATTTGAGTGGCCGAGTCGGTCTTTAAGTTTGTCATGTCAGCAAATCACTGTTCGGTACATGTTGCCAAGATAGCAAAATAATCAAAAGTTTAACAACAAACACTTGTTTTTTAAAATCAAGTGACTTGAATCAGAACAAATTAAATAAAACAATATTAAAATTTCTTGCGTAAAATCAGGCTGCAATACAATGTTGATCCTAGAATAGGAAAACTTGTATTAACTGTTTTCAATTAGAAAAAAAAAACTATATTTACAATATATATAATATAATAATGAATATTGTATATTTTCTCTTTGTAAAATAAAATAATGCCAGCTGAGATGTGTTCCAAAATTAAACAGCCCATTATTATAATCAACACCACAGGATAAGTTACTGTAAGTTCCAATTTTCAAATGGTTAATACTTGGTTAAAAATCATTTGGTGTCTCAACAAGACTAAGTCAAGTTCAATTAGAAAACCAAATTATTCAATAGGATACAAGTTTCCTTTTAATTTGTTTTTCTGTTAATACCACACAAAAACAAAGTCTCCATACATTCATCCTTATTAAGATCTTGTGCTCTCTTTCAGGTATGTAGGTAAAGATTTCAACATCGGTGAAACATCAGAAATTAGAATCAAACTATTTATAAATAAATTTTGTGCATTTTTTTCAACAAAGATGAACTCCAAAAAGTTGGGCTATTTTGCAGCATATCAATTATTGTTAATAATTCTATATGCTTATGGTTCAGAAGGATCAAGTATGTCGTTTCTGTTTCAACTTGGTGAAATTAAGATGTATACACGTAAGGGGGCTTTAACCCTATCAAGATGTTCAACGATCTTCGTTTCTCAAGTGAGGTTCAGAGAGCGTGATATCGACCTCTACCCTCTTTACTTTAAAATTCAAGTTCATAGCATAAGTTATTAATCTTAGTGCTAGTTAGAGTGGAAAATTTAAATAAAACACCGTTGTTTACAGTTTTAAGCAACACACTGCTTCTTTGGAAGTTTTATCTAAAAGTGAAGAGACTGGAGCGGGATCATGCTCGCAGTACCTGAGAAGAGGCTCTCAGCAATGAGATTATTCTATACTTGTTGACACACAGAACCTTACTGAGGGAAGCAAGGTAAGAATCTGTGAAAAGTTTCAACATGTGGTTTATTAAATCCATTATGTTTAATGGTCTGAATGACCAAATTACTTCTTTCAAATTATTAAACTTTATGTAAGGTTTTGGTTGAAATGAAAAAGTTAATGTCACGAGCAGGATGTGACTATATGTGGTTTATGTTTCAACATAAGTAACTTAACAGAAAGTAGATGCTATTTATGACAGATTTTTGAGTGTTGTTTATAAACCACATAAACAGAATAGGATGGACTTTTTTTTGCAAAATATTCACCATTCGTGATTGTATATGATTTATGGATCTGTGAAAAGTTTCAAGTAGTTTCTGCTTCAACATAAGTGAATTATCAGCAAGTTTATACTATTTATGATCGGTTTTTGAGCGCTATTTAAAAATAGTTAATAAACCACATAAACAGAATTGGACAGTCTTTTTGCAAAATATTTATCATTAGTTATTGTGAATGCTTTATGGTAGTGAAAATTTTAAATATTAAATTTCTGTTTCACCATAATTGAATTATCAGAAAGTTTCTGCTTTTATAATCAGTTTTTGAGTACTATTTAAAAATAGTTAATAAACCACATAAACAGAATTGAAAAGTCTTTTTGTAAAATATTTATCGTTAGTTATTGTGAATGATTTATGGTAAGTGAAAATTTTAAATATTAAGTTTCTGTTTCAATATAATTGAATTATCAGAAAGTTTCTGCTTTTATGATCAGTTTTTGAGTACTATTTAAAAATAGTTAATAAACCACATAAACAGAATTGAAAAGTCTTTTTGTAAAATATTTATCGTTAGTTATTGTGAATGATTTATGGTCAGTGAAAATTTTAAATATTAAGTTTCTGTTTCAATATAATTGAATTATCAGAAAATTTGTGCTTTTATGATCAGTTTTTGACTGCTTTTTAAAAAAAAGTTAAGAAACCACATAATCAGAATAAGAAGGACCTATTTGTTTATAAAGTACTCATGGTTAGTGATTGTAAATGCTTTGAGATGTGTAAAACTGTAAATATGAAGTTTCTGTTCCAACATAATTCAATTATCAGGAAGTTTATGCTATTTATGATCGATTTTTGAGTGCAGTTTAAAAAAAACACTTAATAAACCGCATGAACAGAATAGGATGGTCTTTTTTGCAAAATATGCATCATTACTGAGTGTATATACATTATGGATCTGTGAAAATTGTAAATATGAAGTTTCTATTCCAACATAAATGAATTGTTAGAAAGTTTATGCTATTTACGATCGGTTTTTGAATGCTATTTAAAATGTTAATAAACCATGAACAGAATAGGATGGTCTTTTTTTTTTAATATTCATGATTAGCTATTTTATATGCTTTATGGATCTGTGAAAATTGGAAATATGAAGTTTCTGCTCCAATATAAACGAATTATCAGAAAGTTTATGCTATTTATGATTGGTTTTGTGAGTGCGATTTCAAAAAGTTAACAAACCACATAAACAGAACAGAAGGGCCGTCTTTTTGCAAAATATTTATCATTAGTGATTATATATGCATTACGGATCTGTTTCTGTTTCAACATAAGTGAATTATAAGAAAGTTTATGCTATTTATAATCGGCTTGTGAGTGCTACTTTCCAAAAGTTAATATACAACATTTTTTTTTTTAAATATTCATTATTAGTGATTGTATAAGCTTTATGGTCTGTGAAAATTTGAAGTATGAAGTTTCTGTTTCAGCATAAGTGAATTATCAGGAAGTTTATGCTATTTATGATCGGTTTTTGAATGCTATTTAAAAAAAAAAGTTAATAAACTACAAACAGAATAGGTGGTCTTTTTTTTGCAAAATATTCAAGATTAGCGATTGTATATGCTTTATGGATCTGTGAAAAGTTTCAAGAAGTAGTTTCTGCTCCAACATAAGTGAATTATCAACAAATTTATGCTATGTATGATCAGTTTTTGAGTTATTTACAAAATTTAATAAACCATAAACAGAATAGGATGTTTTTTTTTGGAAAAATATTCATGATTAGCTATTGCATATGCTTTATGGATCTGTGAAAATTTGAAGTATGAAGTTTCTGTTTCAACATAAGTGAATTATAAGAAAGTTTATGCTGTTTATGATCGGCTTGTGAGTGCTACTTTAAAAAAGTTAATAAACCACATAAAATTTATTTTAGTGTACAATATTCATTATTAGTGATTTTA